ATCTTTTGCCTCTCCATGCCTACCCAGTGTGTAGAGCAATGTCTTGGGAGAATGAAATTGCCTCCATATCCAGGCAGCTAACACTACACTATAAGGGTGGGAGCAAGTGGATGAATTTCTTTTAATTTCTCTTTTGTAGCTAAAGGGCAGAGGAGCTCATAATCGCAAAAATCAGCTAAAGTTCTGTTTACCAAAAAAGAAACCCAACTACTCCACTAGGCAAATTTTTTTCCTCAGTGGGAAACAACTGATCTTCCCGTCCTGAGGAGGGCCAGAAATCATTGATAATGTCTAGCTAGACCAGAACTTGGGAAGAGCAGAGTGCTTCCCTTTCCACAGGGATGCTCTCTCCTGTTCCAGGCTTTGCTTAGAGTTCTGCACTCCTGCACATTAAAGTTGTGTGGCGCAGGATGGAGCTGGCAAGGAGGTACAGCACCCAGGGCCCAGCTTCTGAGATCTGTACCCAGGGATGGGAAGGAAAGAAGACAGCCCACTTACCTCAGAGGTTACACTGACACGTGCTTCTGTGAAAAGTTTCACTCACAACTTTCCAGTATCACCAGGCTACAGGCATGGCCTCCTGTGATACCAGCAAGCAGTCTGCAGATAGTATTCACAGTGCAAACCCCTCCCTGCTGGCTTTGCTGGATGTGTACCAGTGTACAATCAGCAACAGTTCTTGTTCGAAGTTGCCCCTGGCTTTGCTTGGGGTCATCCTGGGTGACAGTTGTTTTAGTAAATCCATTTTTAAAGAAGGACTTGTTTTTACTTTTTTCTAAATGTCTCAGACTACTGACTTGTTCTATAAATAGATTATTTTTCTTTGATTTTTTTATACTTACCACTGTTAACCAGCAGCACAGACAGAGGTTCACAAAGCAAAAACCTGCCCGTGGGCTTGGGTTTTTTTATTCCATTCCTTCCTTGTAGTACAAGGAATTAGCAGTTACCTTCCCCATTCTAGATTGACCAGCTGCCTGTGTTTAAATAGGTAAATACATTTCATGTGCTACCTTTGTATTTGGGTTTGTTCCTGTTAGTGGGGCATCTGGGCCTTAATGACTCCAGTGGATGCTGGCCTTGTGTATGTGAATGTCTGAAATCAGCCCCTGGGCTGTCTTGTCCCCCTCTCCACTCGCTCCCTATTGTTTCCATTCTTCTGCAGTTCTAGGAGTGTTGTAAGTAGTGTCCAGTCTTACTAGGAGCTGGATTGGGATTTAAAGAAATATTGACAAAAACCAAGGTGTGCTGTATTGACTGTTCTGTGTCCCTTCTCTTGTTCTCTGATATTTGGAAGTCTATTTATTTGGCAGAATTATCCATCCAAAAAAACCCAACTCAGCTCAGGTAGACAGAACTTTATTGTTTTCTTCTATGTGTGCCTGCTACCTGGGAAGAGGGAAGTGTGCAAAAGGAAAAGAAATAAGATGGAGCACAGAAGATCCAGAGTCTTGGGAGCTTTGAGTGCAGATTGGACACAGACTTCTAATTCCTGCTCCTTAAAGACTTAATGTGATGTTAGAAGCAAAAGCAAGCTGTGGTTAAGCATGTGGCTGAAAGGGCACCCTAGCAAATTTAAGAGTATTATTTGTTTACTTATTTATGAAGGAGTCTATGCTTTAGATAGACATACCCTCTTTTTGCCTCCAATTACTTTTTTTTTTCCTTCTCAATGTACACTTAGTTTTGGTAAACTGATTTAAACAGTTGTTACTTTTCCTTCAAGCTTTAACTGATGGTACTACATAAATGTTTCCCAATATGGAGTGGATAAAACTATCTGTCGCAGATGTTTAATCGGTCCAGAATTAGACTAGTACAAGATTTCTTAAAGAATCCCAGTGTTCTGTATTCTTTCTTGACTCCTAGAATTTGTGACACAACAGGGGAAGTATGGTTAGCATCTCCTGTTAGCCACTGACCATATCCTCGTAACCATTCCTGCATTCTCTGTTGCAATGAAGTCCTTGTGTGTAATTACCATCAACTGGAAAAGAGGTCTTTGAGTAAACCTGCATTGCATGTTCCTGTTTCTCTGTGTAGAAGGTATGGTGCAGAGTGTTGACAAGCACTAGTTAACAGCAAGATGGAAACAAACAGCTCTACAGTACAACTGTGGTCATTCTGCTTGTAACAAGCAGAGGAAAGAGCAAACAACAGAAAGAAATGTGCAAATTATATGCAAAACTCACGTTTTTAGTAGTTGCTTTTCATGTAGCCACATGGAGAGCCTCTATTCCACTATTGGAAGGAGGTTGCCACACTTTTTTTTTGGTCACAGATGTATTGTCTGCTTTTGGATAAGGTGTTCATAAACTGAAGACCATTATTAGCTTTACATCTTATTGTTTTAAGCTTGTTTTTTAAGAGCGTAATTCCTATCAAAGGATTGCTGATAGTATGAACTTATGAATAAATGTTAACTTTTGGAAAAACCTGTAGTTTAGTGGTTGAAAAACCCAAAGCTACAGCTGTGGTGTTGTCTCCAGATCCAGGGGTTTGAATTTTTATAAATGCATATGCAGAGAAGCCAGCCAAAGCCAAGATAAAAATGTTCTTACAGGTCTGCTACAGCTGTGGGAAAGCTCTCTCATGATTTGGGGACAAAATCTCAGTACACAAAAAATATTAGCTCGTATATCTAGAAAGGTACATGTCTTAATGCTATAGTCTACAAAGGCTACTTGCCACTGCTGCTGTTATTTCTTTTCATGTGTCTGACACAAAAGGTCAAACTTACCTGATTTACCTGAGCTGTTGTGAGGAGCTGAAAATGGCCAGTGCTTGAGTAGTATAGCTTCTACTAACTGTGTTTTCAGGTTTTTCTTGTAAAAAACAGGGCCTGGAATTTGGCAGCTTTACTTGCAGAGATAAATGTCACTGCTGAACTTCAGTACCATTGCCTTTAGGATTTATGCTTTTGACAGATCTGTACCTGAATGCTTGTGCAGCCTGGACCACTGGTAATGAAGACTTAAGAGTCTTCAGCAACCTAATGTTGATAGTATGGGAATTATCTGAAGGGATGGAAACATAGTCACACAGCATAAGGTAACAGGCAGCTGGTGTTATATCAGCCACACTGTGAAACTTGCATTGATCTTTTCAGTTTTTAGAATCATGGCGTAATTTAGGTTGGAGGGTACTTCTGGAGGTCATCTGGGTCGACCTCCTGACCAGAGCAGTGGTGACTTTAAAAGCAGATGAAATTTTTCAGGGTTGTGTCCAATAAAATTTTGAGTATTTCCAGGGATGAGCATTCAACGACTTCTCTGATTTCCCATTTGGTTTTGTAGCATCTTCAGTGTAAAATTTTCTTGCTGTAATTTGCCTGTTGCCAGAGTCTGGCTCTGTATTTAATCATCCATTAGGTAGTTGTAGACTGCAGGTCCTGCAGCCTTGGTTTCCAAGCTGAACAAATCCAGCTTAGCCTCCCTTGAGCCATGGCATGAGCTGTAGCCTTTTGACAGTCTTGTTGAGCCTTGTGGGGCAGGCTGCTCAGTGTACTGAGGAGCCCAAAACTAGACATGTTACTCTAGGTACAGCTTAAAACTGTTGAATACAGCGGGGGAAATAACTTCCTTTAACCTGCTGCTCATACTTTTGCTGTGCAGCCTCCTACAGGGCTGGCCTGTATAGCTCCAAATACTGCTTACTCCTTTTCATTCTGGCTACTATTAGCCCCAGGTCTTCTGGCTTATAATTCCTCAGATACAGGACTTAAATTTTCCATCAGCACATCACTTCAGCCAGGAAAGATCCAACTGAATGGGAGTTCCCTCCTCCCCTGTTTCGGGCTCTGCTGCTCCAGTCCTCTGCCAGCATTGTTTGATGTCATCTGAGTGTGCTCTATACCACTACCCAGGTGGGTAAGAAAAAACACCTGAGGTATTGCACTTGCAGCTGTCTGTCTCCAGGATTTCAAACTGGTGACTGGTGAAGCCTGAGCATGGAATTCCACCCCATTTTTCACTGCCATTATAGGTTGTCTATCCTCTCCCCCAAGTGTGTTTTTGCTGTAAGTCCGGGTAAACACCTACTGCTCTCCCCTTGTCCATAGAGTTCATCACAGAAGGCAATGAGATTGGGCTAAGATTATAGTGGTGACTATTACCAGTCATGTTATCCCTCATGGGCGTGGATGTTGGTTGAGGAGGATTGGTTCCATCATCTTTCTCCTCTTCATTGAATGGGCATGATGCACAGAGGATTCATCACAGTCTATCAAGAATGTGATCTTCCTATTTTTCCTAGGGTTCAGATGTTTTCCTAGGGGTGGAAGAAGTTTCTTAATATCATTCCCGAAATAACTGTTAAAATTGCTGTAAGAAGTTGAGTGCTGTGGTCTGCTAGAAGCAACATTTGAGGCTTACTCCAGTTAGATGCGAAGGAAAATCAGGGAACTCCTTCACATCCTCTCCAGCTGTGGTCAGTAAGAATGTGTTGGGTCAGCCTGCCTGAACCAAACAGGAACTCTGCTTGGAGCACCAAGGCAGTGGGGAGGTGCAACAAATCCAGCCCTTATCGGCTTTGGGAGGGTGGTAAATGTGTGGGGCAGCTGGAAACAGCACAGCAAGACATGGAGAGCATTGAGCTTTGGATAATGGCATGGCTTGGCACAAGGGAGTGTTAAGTTGTAGGTAAAGGAAATGAAAGTAACAAGGATTTACTGAAAAACGTTTGTAAGGAGCTGTGTTCTGAATGGCTTTGAAACAAAACCTCTGCTGCAGTGAATAGTTTTAATCTGAGGTGAGGTGTTGTGTCTTATTTGGTGGTTTTTCAGGGGTCAGTTTTTGGTAGTCTGTGTATCACCAGTCCTGGATGCTGGTTGGTGTCTCTGGCCAGCCTGGCACTGCTTTGAATGGGTGGGTGATAGGCCAGCAGAAGAAGAGCTGCATCCCTTTGCAGGTTGGTGCAGCTCCTGCTCAGCTCACCCCCCAAGCACTGTGCTGTGACAGCTGTGGAGCCCACACAGCTCAGTTCTATGAATTGAGACACAGCTCAGGTTTTAGTGATATGTGGAATGAGTACCACATTGTTTACTTCTGTCTGGAAATTTAGTTAATCTAGATGTTGCCAGTGTATTGATGGCGCTACATCCCATTATTTCCTTTCCCCATAGCCTCTTAGACAGGAGGTAGATGCTTTAGCTTTGCCTAGAAACATTTCTGGGAGAGACAATGGCTGCTGAGAACACCTGGTGGAGAAGTGGAATCACTGGCAGCACCCTGCCTGATGCTGAAGGACCAGCCCCAGATGAGTGTGATGGTGCTGCTCTCACCTGCTGCCAGAAAGGGGAGGCTCCACGGGTGTAACCCATTACCAGGTTTGTATATACTGGTAAGGTTTGAACACAGCCCAGTTTCTCACTTTCTGGGCCTTACCACCTACCATGGCACTGGTTTCCTCTGGCTTCTGCTGCAAATAGTCTTGGAATCGTCAGACTCTGGGATTTAGGGCAGTTAGAAAATGCAGAGAGATGAACAAATGAATAATGGAAGAGTGCACAGCCACAGGAAAAGTGCTTATAACTTACAGAATTTTTTTTTTTCTTGCTGAGTAATGTGATTTTAGGAAGCTGATCGGTCTGATTCCTGTTTGTAGCAGAAAGTGGGCATGACCCCTGTAAAGGGTGCTGCTGGACAAGCAACACCTGAGATTTCTGCAAAAAGGAGCTCACTTTGCTTTGCCTTAAGCAGCAGCTGTTCCATGCCCGTTCCTTAGCTCTGGTGATCTCAGAGAAACATGATTGTTTCTTGTGCTTTTTCTTTTGTCCCCCAGGGCCTTTCCATTACACCTTGGGCAGCCCCTGTTCTCAGGGAAGTCAGGCCAAAGGAAATCAGCACAAACTCCCTTTGCAGACTTTTGGTTTGCTCCTCCCAAAGTGCTTTTCCTTTGCAACAGGGGAGGTCTCACCTCCCACCCTCTTAGGGCTGCGTGGCTCCCTGCACAGAAGCTGTGGGACTGCTGACTGTCCATTGGCATCACCAGGACCAGATTTGGGCAGCAATAAAACAGCTTTTTCCTGGTTTGCTTCTGTGAAGCCACAGGTTCTGTTCTAGCCCTAGGGGGTTTGCAGCTCAAACCTTGTAGTAGGAACCTTTCAAGGTAAATCAGAAAATTAAAGACCAGTCTCCTTTTTCCTCTAGATCCCAGCTATGGTGAACACCAAAACTAAAAGTTCCACTGACTCCACGTGTTTTCAGTTAATTTTCCCATTTGAGCACATCACCATGAAAGCTCTGTATTTGGGCTGTGACAGACTGACAGACTTAAGGACATTCTCAGCACTTGTCAGATGATTTGCAACCCTCTGCATTAGCTTGCAGGGATCAGGAATGAAGTGTCCTTGTCAAAAAGAGCTGTGATGCTATGAGCCTCTCTGGCTGAAGGGAAGTAATTAATGTTCACAGTGGAAATACCTTGTGTTTGGGTGTATTTCTCCATGTGACCTCTTGATCTGGTCAGCCCCCTGAGCATCACTGAATTCATGGCGGCAAAAGGATGACGTGGCTTGGAATTTGATAGTCAAAAATGGCAAAGAGTGGAGCTCATGAGCAGCAGCAGCTGCCCTTTTGAGCTCCAAAGGGCTCTCGAGGCACCTTCTCCTTTAGTGTAGGGTGTAGTGAGTCAGCACAACCAGACCAAATCCGAGTGCCTCTGCTAAACTCTCTGTCCCTCGTGCCTGGATGCCTGTTCCCTGCTTCCCTGCTCCACTGCCACTCCTCTCTTGGCTGGAAGGGTTAGCTTTCTGCAACCATCAGCTGCATCTATTTTGAAGCTGAACTTCTTAATCTCCGGCATTCATCAATAGAAAAGATTGCCTTAAGCTATCAAAACTGGCAAATTACTTTTTTTTTTTTTTTTTTTTTTCCCTTTTCTTTTTTTGAGGAAAAATGAATAAGCCAGAAAGAGACTTGGTGCCATATGTTGCAACTGACTACCAGAATAGGAATGACTTGTAGACAGGGATCAGCCATGGTGTGAAGGCTTGTGAGTCTTGCTTCAGGCAGCATTCCATCCACCTGGGAAGCTGAGTGAAGGCTCTAGGTCTTGCTCATGTTCTGTCTCAGAGCCCCACCAGGCAGAGCCAGGGCTGTGGATGACTGCTGGGGAGTGCAGCCCTTTTTCTCTGTCTGCAGAGAAGAAGCTTGGCAGCACAGGTCCCTCTGCTTTCTCCTCCACTGCCTTGGGCTGCTGGTGACCAGGGGAGCAAAACAAAACAAGAGACAAACTACCGCTGCTGCTGAATGGTGGCCAGGAGCTGGTGGATCTCACTCACTCCTTGTGCTCAGATGAGGGCTGACTATGATGTTTTTAAGAGAGAACATCTGTCAGTGCAAGGATTTTTTAAAAATCTGCTGTAATTCTGATTTTTGGAAACTGGAAAAACTGAACTCAAATTTTATTTCTTTTTGACCATTTTTTGAATGCCCAAGTTTTCACTTTGTCAACTTTTGCATGGAAAGTTTTTTGAGAAATTTCTGAAGACCTTTCACTCTGTCAATCAATGACTAGCTGAGTATTAGATTCCTCCCTGCATGAAAACTTTGTGTTCTGAGTAGTTACCAGCCCAGTAGTAGTAAATTGAAAAGTCCCAGATTGGAAGCTTGTGTTCTGAGTTATTACCAACCCAGCAGTCGTGAATTATAAAGTATCTTTTTTCTTTATTTTTTAGGGTGTTCAAGTAAGTATGAACAGATGCTTTGAGATCACTGCCCAAATCTTGCTTGTTTAAAAACAGATTATAGGCTTTCTTTTAGGAATCAGTTAAGTACAGTCCTGTCTAAGCCCTGAGAAAAGCTTTTCCTTTTTTCTGCCAGAACATGCCTCTTGCAGACAGAAAGGATGCAGGGACATGCAAATCACTGCCCTATCAATGGCTTTGATGTCGTTCTTCCTGCAGGCAGGCACTTTTGGAATTATATCAATTATATCTTCACCTCAAAGGAGTAGGATGTGCAGAGCATAAGGAAAGATCGTAAGTGGTCCCAATATACAGCTGCCTTTCTATCCCTCAGTTCACCCTGTGCCTAATCAATCTGCTCATCTGATGCCTCTCACTTCTGGCCAATTAAACACCACTGCTGGAATTATGATTTCCTTTGGTATATGATTCTTGATATGAAAATGTCCTCCACTTGTTTCCTTGGCTGCAACTTCAAACTGGTAAGATTTAATTTCTTGGTGCAACTATCAACTTTCACATAAGAAGGCCCATGACTAGATTTTGGAAGAGCAGTGACTTCTGCCCTCTCCCTAAAATGTGTTCAGGCCCTATTCCCACACTTACCCTGCCAGGGTTTGTTCAGTTGCTGGTAAAGTGAGAATAGAAAAGAGGCCTGAGAACTGGTGGTACCTGATGGAGTTGAGAGGAAAGTAGCAGAAGATGCTAAAAAAATTGAAGTCTTCAGGCTCAGGAGTCTTTGCTTGCTACTCAGCTCTTGCTTATATTACAATGTGTTTTATTATTTTATAAATATATATATATAGGTATCTATACTTATGTGCTTATAAGAGCATAACTTAGCAGTGCTTTTATTTTGCATATAAGGAAATTAGGATACTTTTAAAGTATGAGCCAAAAAGCCTCTTTTCCTTGCTTATGTGTGCAAAGGGCCAGTGTTTGACGGGGACAGAGTACTAAGGAGTCAGAGCAGAGGTAAGATGCAGATCTGCCTGCTGCACTCATGATTGTGCATGCAATACCGTGTCTTCCTGCTTTAGTCTTGGGTTTGGTGCTCCTGACAGCCAAGTGCACACCCAAGGAGCACCTTCTGCTTTCATCCTGGTCTGGGGGGAAACTGCTGGCACTGGGCATAGCCAAGGGAGTGGTGACAGGAATCTGCAGCTCTGCTGCTGCTGGGAATTCCTGCAGCAACCAAAGCAGGTCTAGGGGCACTTTTCTTTGGGTCTCAACTGATCTCCTCTGCTCTGCCCTGGTCATAGAGAGGGACAGATCAGCACACTGTCATCTACACACCAAGCGCTGTGGAAGCACTGCCTGTGGCTCCTGCCTGCAGAGGAGCAGGGCTGTGGCAGGGGTAGCCCCAGGAGCAGGTTTTCCAGCACTCTGAGCAGGCCAGCCCACAGTCTAAGCAGTCCCTGAGCTCTGGCTCATGCAGAAATGTCACCTGTTTATCTCCAGTGTGCAGAGCACAGTGTCCACACAGAATCTCACACACAAACCTGGGCACAGAAGTGAGGCCTCTGCTGCTCTGCAGCTATCCAGTGAGGATAGGGTTCTTCCAGCCTCAGGATTCTGGTTCTTTAAGCTGTTCTTTGGAAGCAGTAATTCACTAGGGAGGATGTCTCTGAATGAGGTTGTTTGAAAGCCTGCTGCATGATCTTCTGTCATGCAGAAACTGCAGGCCCTGGTCTTTTGCTTCTGCTACTGTAATTTCAAAATGTGTGTGCCTTTCTGGGATGGAGTTCAGTGGCTCAAGCAGGAGTCAATCTTTTGTGCTTACTTTGGCTTCTTTCTCCGCTAAGCAGTCTCCAGGTTCCTGTAATGTGCCAGCCAGTGCCAAACTCTAATTATCCCCTTTCTGTGCATATTTGTGACAATTTTGCTCACTACAGCCATGGTTGCTTTAAGCTAAACATCATTTTCAGGCTGAACAGGCCAGTAGCAGGGTGGTTATCAGATGCATCCTATTTGCTCTGGCCTTTGGTTCCCAGATGATATAATGGCAAATTGTGTTCTTGGAAGCTGGCTCACAAGATTGCATTGCCTCAACACACGGGGGGCACTTTCTCCTGAGTGACGGGGAGCAAAGGGGGAGGTGGAAGTGCGTGGCACAGTTACTCTCAGTGCTCAGCAAAGGCCAGGTATGGCTGATGGTTTTTTGTGTTGGGAAAGTGAAGCAGCAGCAGTTGTGCCCAGGTCACTCTCCTGAAAAGACTTTGGTGGTTTGAGCCATAATTCACTTTAAAGTAGCTGCTGCTTGCATGGTAGTAAGAGGCTGTGCTTGTCTCCCTGTAAACATTTCCCCCTCCTCTTTTCTCCTCCTCATTCCTCTAAGTAGGTGCCTTTTGAAACCCTCCTCTTTTTAGGTTTGAACTACCTTTCCAGGTGACTGGAGGTGGCTTGGTGCTTTGAAGGAGAGAAATCTAACACTTATTCCCTGCTCAGCTGGACATAAATGTGAAACAAGACAAGACCTGGGAGTAGATTCTGTAATTGTTACCAGAGCATGAAGTGTCAGCAGTCCTGGGGTGGGCTGGTGCCACTTCTTATGCACATCTGTCCCAGACAAAGTCAAAGGACCACAGAGGCTTTTGTTCCACATTTGCTTTCTTTGGGCTGTAAGCACTTCCCTGCTAGCACAGCCACAGCTGCTGGTGGAAGACTGGGATCAAGGCAGAAATCTTGGCAAATGTTCTAAGGTAAAGAGAGAGATAGGAGCAAAATGCAGCATGAATTAATGGCCTTTAGGATTTTCCAGCTCTTTCCAAATAATTTTCAATGGTGGTATCTTGGTAGATCTCTAGATGAAGTTGTTTTCCTGTTACTACAGCATACATATTACCTAGGTTTTTCCTTTTTAATATTTTTTTTAAGAGGCACATTTTTCCATTTCTCTTATTTGTTTCTTGCAAACCTGTTTGGTAAAGCTTTGTTTCTGACTGTCCCTATTCTTCCCCTTGCCTTTGATACAATTACACTCAAAATCTTAGACATTGAGATTTTATCCTTAGCATTTTTCCCTTAAAATTTTTCATTCCCTTTAATGGGTCAGTTAAAGTCCCTCTCAATTTCTTTGCCTTCTACCATTTCAAAAATATGTACTGAAAGTATATTTTATTTTCTGTAGTCTTAACTGATCCTTTGTGGCATTGTTGGTTTTTTCTCTATTTTCTGTTAAAAAAAAGTTAAAAAAAAATCAGTCTTTCAAATAACATCTCCCAGAACCATATGGACTTTTTCTTAGTCCACTCCAGAATATATGTAAAATAATGCTTTACTTTAAACATTCTTTGCTTAGGATTTTCCAGCTTGCTTTTGCATTTGTTGATTTAATATCTCCCCTCACTGCTTATGTTTACACTGAACATTTGTTTTCATTTTTGGGTTATTGTTGTGTTCAGTGCAGTCTTATCACATGGAGTGCAAGTCAAATAGTCTGTAATTGATTGCACATTTTCTTATCATAATTAGCTCCTGCCAATTAACTTGTCATCTTGTTGATAGGATTATTGCTATCTGTATGCTGCAGTAATTGTGCTTACTGAGGGATATTCATGCAGTAGTGCTGATGAATGCTATAGCTGGAAATTGAAAATATAATTTGAAAATCTATAAAAATATTTCCTTAATCTCTTCTCTTCTTACACCAATCTGTTGCACAAGGCAAGATATAATTTATCTTTACTGTTGTTTTTAATCCCTGCATTTTTACCCTATTTAACAGCTGCACTATTCACTGTGAGATGGTTTCTGCACAAAATGGGATGTTTTCTGTTTCTCACTACATCGCATAATTTCTCTTCTGGCTGAGAAATTATGGGAAAACCTTTCCTGGTTTTCCCATAATTTTTCCACTTGAGGAATAGAGATGTTTTATTTGGACCACCGTGTTTAATTGCTGCAGAACAGGAGCAGCTCTGTGTGGATTTGCCTGTTTCCTTTTCAAACAATATTCTGTGGTAATGGCCACAGGTACCATGTTTAATTAATTATGCTCAATGGGAGGAAAAAGTATATAAATTTATTTTAAATCTGAATTTTTCTTCAAATGACATTAGTTGTTACATTGTAAGATGTAGTGCATAACGTATTCATCTTCTGGACCTTTGTTGTCCCCCTCTTTTCAATCAAGGCATCTGCTCCTGAAATGAGGAGTTGTTGCATATTTGATCACTCCTTGGTTGAGTTAATTCTTTTCCTCTCCCCGTCTCTCTTCCATTGCTTCCATTTCTGTTTCTCTTGCAGGAGGTCTGGTGCTGTGTGGATTTACCACAGATTCATGTGGTGAAACCACAGTTCTTGCTGGTTCTTTCTCGCTGTTCTCCTTCTGCCTTCTCAAACTGCCTGTACACATTGTGCTGCCTCTCTACACACCTCATACAAGGACACTGACCCCAAAAGAGTTATTTTCTTCCCTGTTCTCTCTTCCCTCAGATATTTATCAAGAGATGTATTAAAAATCTTTTAAAACCTTGCCTCACATACATCCTTGGACCATCACAGGTGTAACATATCCACCATGAATAATATCCTGTACTGTTTGCCTCTTTTATGGCCTCTAAACATGGAGCTTAATGTCATCATTACCTGCTGTAATCCCAAGACCTCCTTCTGGAGCAAGAGCTGCTCATTTCACAGCCCAGTGCTGGGTGTGCATAACTGGGGCTGGTTGTCTGCTTGCTATGAAATTTTTAATCTGCTGCTTGACTGTCTGTTCCCATTGCAGCTTCCAGAGTGGTGTCCTGGGATGGGGCAGTGCTGCTTCTGGAAAAGTCCAGCGGCAAAGATCCCTGTGTGTGAGGGAAGAGTGTTTGCAACCTGCCAGATTTCTGAATGGGGCTGGTTTTGGCCCTTAGTAAGAAGCAGCAGAGCGCTTAGCTGAGTTTATTTCCAGCTTTGCTGCCTGCCACTGCTCCTGGCCACAGCACAGTCCTGGAAATTTTGGGTCAGGCTGCGATGCAGGACCTTGCCCTATGCCCATGACCTCCCCGCTAAGAAGGAGCAGCGGGAGGGAATTCACTGGGAATTCATGTTTCGACTCTTTTACCTCTTCCCAGCAGGTCTCGGGGCTTCAACTCCGTCAGGCAGCGGTGGTGTCCCCTTTGGGAAGGGACAGAGGCGGCGGAGAGCGGGAGCCAAGCGGTGCCGGCCCGGGACGGAGCCCCTCTCACCGGCGGGGGGAACGAGCCCCTCTACGCTGGCCATGAAATCAGTCATGTGTAGGTTTTTGTCCAGCCCTGGGGGGGTGGGGGAAGGAATGTGGGTTGGGCGAAGTCTAGGATTACACCACCGCTGAATTTTTTCTTTCCACACTTTAAATAGCCAGCACCTTTCGGTCCTGCCTTCGCCTCTCCCTTCGCCGCGCCCCGACAGCGCCGTCCGCCAGGTAACACCGCTGCCCCGCTCGCTCCTGCCCTGCTCCCCCTGTGCCCCTCGCCCTGCCGGGGCTGCCGAGGGTGGCAGCTCATGGAGCATTTTCTGCCTGTTTAATAATTCTCTAGTGTGGCGGGGTCCTCCCAGTCCTTCCTTTCGGCCGCTGTCAAACACTTGCCCGTATTTCTTAGCCCTCTTCATGTCCCCAGGTGTTTTATAGAGGGACTGAGTAGGGGGAGGGAAGAGGTTGAAAGCGCCGATTTGCTCTTTTTTCGTTCTCCCCGGAGAGGGGAGAGTGTAATTTGCTGCCAGTGCCTTTTCTTGCCCTCCTGGGCAAGGATGAATGTCAGCGTGAGGCTGGGGCTGGGGGAGCACGCTCGGCAGGGCATGGAGGAGGCTTGAGGGTGGCACTGTGGGGAGAAGGTGCCCTCCTTGGCACGAGGTCCTCAGCAATCCCAGCTTTGACACTGGGCACTGGTGAGAACAACAATCCTCACCCTTTTTGCTGTAGAACTTGGCAGCCAGCGGGATATCTTGCCTGGAAGGAACAGGCTCAACCCTCCGTGATCCTTCCAAATGGTGTTCTCTTGGGGGTACCTGGGGGAGGGTGGGACAGTGGAGTGGTGCCCACCTGCTCTCTGCTGAGCTTCTCTTAGCACAGATGTATTTAGAGATGCTGCCAAAAGATCTGAGAGCAGTACTGTGGGAAGCTTTGCGGGAAATGGGCAGATATTTGGAAGGGCAGACCTTGAGAAAGGCAAGATCCCAGATGCCAACAACTTCTGCACACTTTATCCTGCTGTTAGAAGGATAGCACCATTCTGAAAATCACCTTTTCATGTAGTCTTGAGGATTGCCAGCAACAGTTGCTGCCATCAAAAAGATAAACTTGCTTTCCTATAATTTCAATTTGTTCTCTTCCTGTGTCTAGGACTTCTGTGTGCTTCGTGGTATCCATCACATGGTCTGTAAAACCAGGCCAAGGCAACAGAAGAGAAACCCTTATAAAATATCTTGTCAAGTATTTGATCCTGCTGTCATCCCCCTTCTGCTCTAAGTCTGTTTCCTACACCTCACACAGTGGGAGCTCCAGCCTGAGCTGCTGGGTCTTCTGTGTTACACTGGGCTTAGGGGATGGGCTGCCAGAGACAGGACTGTTTTGAGATGTGGCAATTTAAAATAATGAAACTATTAGTGGCTTTCAAGGACTAGTTTTGGACTCATTAGTGTAAATGTGTACTCTTAGCACCAGCAGGAATCTGTATGAGGAGAAAGGGAAGAACAGTTTGAGATGTGTGTGTGCACATGTCCTTGCACCTCTCTTGCCTCCCATGGTCCAAATTTCTGCATTTTTGCATGGTTTGTGCTGAATTTAATGAAGGAAACTCTTTTTGAAGGTGGGATGGATTACAGAGTCCCTGGTGCTGTCAGCAATGGTGAAATGGTGCCCACACACCCTGGCATGGAAAAGGAGAAGGAGGAAGAAGAGGAGAAGGACCAGACACTGGAGCGTGGTCAATGGAACAACAAGCTGGAGTATGTCTTGTCCGTGGCTGGGGAGATCATCGGCCTGGGAAATGTCTGGCGCTTCCCCTACCTCTGCTACAAGAACGGTGGAGGTAAGTGCAGCCAAGGCCACCTGGTCACCAGCACCACTCCATGATCCCACCCAGCTCCTCAGCTGTGCCCAACTCATAAGTCTGAAGAGAAGGTACCAACCTGCCAACATGGTGCTGCCATCTGGGCCCCAACCAGGGGCTTGTTTTGAGCCCAATGGGACATGGATAACAGTGGCAACATCCCAGGGTTTCTGATAACTGTAGCTGTGTTGCCCTGAGATGGATGGAATTTCCCCCTGCTCCTGCTGGTGAAGTGGGTGGCTGTATGCAGAGGGAAGGCTGGAAGAGCCGGGACAGAGCTTGGCTTTCTGAGCTGTGTGTCTCACTTCAGGCATCGCTTCCTTGAGGGGCGCCAGGCACCCTGTGCAAATCGGATGGTGGGTCCTGCTGGGCGAGCAGGGAGTAGTCTGAGAGGCCACAGGGCCCCAGTGTCTTTGCAGGCTGTGTGAGTAGGAGCTCAGGACTCTCAGGAGTTCTTGAACACAGGTCTTGCTCCTGTGTGTGTCTGTGGAGAGCTGGCCCCTGGGTCCTGGAGGCAGGTGGCAGGGATAGGGCAGAGTGAAGGGATTTCTCCTGCCTTGGGGTAAAAGTACAAACCACTCCTGCCCCACATGGTATTCCCTTGGCATCTACCAGAGCTGTAAGGTGTGGGAGGGGGAACCCCTGCCTCTGATCCCCACAGAAGGGCTGTGGGAGTGTGGCTGATGCTCAGACAGGGAAGGAGGGTGTTGCAGCTGGCACCGAGGTGCGAGCACTCCAGTGCTGCCCAGGCTGTGCTCAGCCATCCACCCCTCGGCCAGGCTGTACTGTGCCTTGGCAGCAGACATGGGCTCGCTGTGCAGGTGGAGGGTTGCTGCGGGCTTCCACACTTTGTGGCTGCCCTTTAAAGGACAAAACTTTAAAAAATGAAAACACCAAGTTTTTCTCAACTTCGGCTCACAGACATGTAGAGAGGGAGCTGCTCTCCCTGTCTGGTGATTAGTTGCTAATTGGTCCCTCCAGAAGGTCAGGGGAGAGGGGAAGTGGCGCTTGGCTGGGACCTGGCAGGGAGTGAGCGCTGAGGACCCGGGGCTGAAATCCCCTGGCTTGAGTTTGCAGTGGTCTCATGGGCCTCACTAAACTGCTTTCATCCCAGTGGCATAAAAGAGGATTAAACACTGTTTAGCTACTTTCACGCCGTGCTTTCTTCGTGCTTATTTCTTTTTACCAGGTGATCCGGCAGTCTCTTTCCCTGTTAAAAAAGGAGAATTTTTCCACATGTTCTTTTTCTGTGGGAAATGCTTCTTGGCTGCTTATTGAGCTGTGTCTGGTCCCACTGATGCAAATTTCCTTGGGTACTATTCCATCAATGGGAGCAGAACCTGGAATCCTGTCCAGGCAGCCCTTGCCCTGGGTGCCAGGGAAGAGTTCAGGGAGTGCTCTGGGGAGAGGGGAGCTCCTGTGTGAGCAGCAGAGGCAAGACTCAAAGGATTTTGCAGCCTTTCTTCCCAGGAGAAATGGGCCTTTAGCAAAGTCCTGTGAAGCACTAGAGGCTGTGAGGAATTTGAAATCCCAGGCAGATTTTTCATCTCTGGCCCCCTTTCCACGAGGTTAGAGCAAGGATGGTGCACGAGACTCTTGCATGGTGAGGAAACAGTTTCTGTAAGATTTCTCCTGGGGCAGAGCTGTGTGATGAGGTGGTGCAGGACACAAGGCTCCCTCATGCCTCATGGAACCCAGCCTACTGCAGACAGAACTGTATCAAAACCCTTGTAACATCTCAAGTTGAATTTTAAAAGTTCCCAGAGGTTTTGCCTTCTTTAGAAATGCTGGTCCAGGCACTTGCTTCTCCCATTCTTCTATAAAGTGCAGGGCCTTCATTTAATTTCCAGCCCCAGATCAATCACAGCCAGCCTACAACCATTAACTCTTGTGCCAGCACTCCCATCCATCTGAGGTAGTTCTGCCCTGCTGGATAATTCCCTTTCCCTTCTGAACTGTGTGCAGACAGTGGTGATAACTGCTCACAGCTCCTGCTTTGCCTAAATATGAGCCTCTTCAAGAAATGGTATCTGCAAAATCTGAGTTATTTAAAGAGCCAGTCACTCTCCCTTTCTTTAGGGATATTTTCACATAACAAAGGAAGAGTAATCCCTTACATATTTAATGCTCAATACATGAAACCAAAGTCCTATGTAGAGAAAAGCAACAAAGAAGAGTAAAAGAAGTGTTCTTTGTGTGCTTGTTTGCTCTTGCTTTCACCTGCAGTGGCAGGGCCAGGCCCTCCCTGGGCAGGCTGGCCCCACTGATTGGGAAATACCAGGGGAGCCTGTCTGGTGGTGTGGCTGCCAGCACTGCACCCCCTCCCCAGCTCCCCACACCTGCCAGTCCCAAGGCCCCTCACTGCTGAAAGTGAGATGGGGAGGGCACTGGGGATGGTTATAGAGGAATTTCTGCCTGTGTCCCCTGCTCTGCCAATTGATGGGGGCAGTTTAAAGAACATAGACACCTATATATGGCCTTATTCAACTATGAATATAAAGGTAACACAAAAGTAAAATTATACATTCAATAAAACTACACACTCGGCTTTAGCAACAAGCAAAAGGAAGAAAGGTAATGCACCTAATCATTACTAGATGAGAGAAAGGATAGGGACTGGGAAAGGTAAATCAGCAATTGCCTAAATACTTGTACCATCATCCAGAGTCCACAGTCACTGGGGAGTCCTGTTCCGTAGTGAGGACCTGGGGAACCCTTCCCAGCAACTGGGGAAATCGTACACAGTGTGTCCACCTGTAGCTGAAGTCTCCAAATTAATCCTGAAAGTTGTTTCAGCGTTTATAGGCCCAAATCAGTAAGTCAAAGTGACTTGACAATATTTTTAGCACAGAAACACCTGGATCTGATGGCACATGGCCTTACCAGCAAGGGTGAGGGTTTGGCCAGAGCTCAGGCCTTGGCTGGGAAAGTTTTCCCCTAAAATACCCTACAAACAAGCCTCTGTTCATGACAGTTGGGAAAGTTGCTTAAAATGATACATTTCTTACAGATAACTAAACAAGTTTATACAGAGCTAGCATAAGTGTCTATATCATATATTTTTAGCTAAATAATACTGATGGTATTAATGACAAAGTGCTCAGGATTCATCCTCTAAGTCAGCTCTCTCTGAGGCTGGTTGCTCAGATCTCAGCACACCAATCTCCCCACCTGGGATGTGAGGGGATTAGGGCAGATTGCAGAGACATGTCTCTACAAATTTTTTTCTCTCCACCATAATTCTGTGCTATTTTACAGCCTACATGTCAGGACCTCCTGAAACTTGCAATAATCACAGGTTAGGGGACAGGCCAGACTGCAGGCTGCAAATAAGGGAAAACTGGGCTGGAAAGCTTGTCTTACTGCCTCAGAGACCTCTCCTGGAGTTTAGTTAAATACAGACTTTTATATGACAACCATCTTTCTTGGAAACAGGCTTGACTTTCATGATGATATGATTTTGTACAAGTTGGGAGTTGAAGGGATGGTGTTAAGACAACCATTTCCCCTGCCGTTTGCCTTCCCCAATTTTTGTTTACAGTATATGGGCAGATGTGCATTGTTCCTGCAGTACTGCCAGGTATCACAGAATCACTGAGATTAGAAAAGGCCTCTAAGATCATGGAGTCAAACCATTAAGCCAGCACCCCTTTCAACTCCTCTTTGTTCACAGGGAGCTGCCAGGGTGCTTTTATTGTCTATTTTGCTCATGATTTTTTTTTTTTTTTCCAAGAAGCAGGTGCTGTGGCTCTGCACCCAGCTGAGATGAGCACAGGGTGGGAATCCCAGCCAGCCCCCAAAGTGCCCCTTCCCTTTCCCAGCCCCTGCATGCTACCTAAGCTTCTTAATGAAATCTCCTGGGTTTTGAGTTCTCTCGTGCACCAGGATTATTATTTCCCATACACCCCCACCGAGCTGAGCCCAAAGCAAGTTAGCATCACACAGGCAGGGAAAAGGCGTGGAAACCACAATTAGTGCCTGGCTGGGTTGCCACCTCTGACCCTGCATGCCCTCTGAGCCTACCACAGCCAAGATGCTGCTCTCTGCTTGAGTCTACCTCTTTCCTGACCTGTGTCCCTGCCTTTCAGCACAGCTTGAGCAGCTCCAGTGGCACATGATGTGCATGCACCATCTTGTGGGGCTGTCTCCTATGCTCTGTGGGGTAAAGGCCATTACTGCAATTAACATTAGCCTGAGGTAATCAAAAGCCTGAAACATTTAATCTCTTCCTGCCTGTTCTGTGACAGGGCTGGAACAGGAGGGCAGCCCTGGCTGCTGCTGTGAGGTGCATACTTTCCTGCATTACTTGCTCTTCCTTTGCATGTCTGCTGCTTTTTGCCAAGAAAATGATTGAGCAACCCCACAAACTGGGCAAAAGTGTCAGTCTTTGTGTGCTCCTCAGAGCCTTGGTATTGGCATCCATGGGTTTGTCAGCTTATTCAGTCACAATACGCAATGTGTAAGGAGCAATAAACCTGATTAAATTTGGAATGTCTTCACAGCAGAGTGTTCTTCTGTATTTCCATACAGCTATTCACAACTTTCTTCTCCATTCATTGTACTTTTTGAATTGTTCATATAATTATATCAGTCCAGAAGATGAAATGTGAGGAAATATTTTTTTTCCCTTGCATCTTGTCTGTGATCTTCCAATCTCCACAACTGCCATCCCTCCAAGTCTGTCCCACTCAGGAGGAACCTGCCTGGTGACTGGCTAGAGACAGCCTGACCTCAGTCCCCTCATGGGGCTTATTTTTCTATCTGCCACTTGAATCTGCCAGGTGCTTTCTTCATCCCCTATCTCATCTTCCTCTTCACCTGTGGGATCCCAGTGTTCTTCCTGGAGACAGCGCTGGGGCAGTACACGAGCCAGGGAGGGGTGACAGCCTGGCGCAGGATCTGCCCCCTCTTTGAAGGTGAGTGGAGGGAGCTGGGAGGGCATGGTGAGGTGGGGAGACCCTGGGACCCTGAGGGGATGAGCAGAGATGTGTCTCCCCATAGCCTGGATTGTTATGCACCTCCACACATCTCCTGCCCACCTGCCTGAGAGGGCCACTGGCTGCCCCCTTTCCAAAATCCTGCTGGAAAAATGGATCACCTTCACCAAACAGTTCTCACTGTTACATTGCATCCTGGTTTTCTTCTTCATGGCCACAGTTTTGGCAAGGAGCTTTGTGCCCAAACAAGGTTATCCTTTAAGAGGTAAATGGGGAAAATGCTTCTGGTGATTATGAGGAACCTAAAGCATGCTGCTGCTTTGCTTTTTTTCTTAAATTGATGCTCTGTCATCTCTGTGAGTTTGCAGGTCATATAAAACCTTACTGGTGAAGGTGTCAGCTCTCTTAATGATTGTCAGTAGTCAGATCCTCTGTTTCTAGCACAGTTTCATCACAGTTATCCAGCCTCAAGCCACTTTCTTTGATTTCTCTGAAAGTCACTGTTGCCTCCTCCGTACGTGCCAAAACCTTTAGATGCTTCTCCAACGCCTCCCAGAGAAGGTGTGCAGGGTTAATAAAAGAGCTTCCCAAATAAAAATGAAAAGGGAAAGTGACAATTATTAAAAAATTAATTTTGTTAGAAGAGATGTAACTCAGCAGGTGCCATACCATTGTTTCTGCCCCTTTGGGTGGTGTTCCAACCATAACCTGCCCACCCCCTGCCCAGCGTCCCTCCCATTGCCACCCTTTCACCAGGGAAAGCAGTGGCAGGGCAGCAGGCAGAAGTTTGCCTGGGGGCCCCTGGCTGGATGCCCACTGATGTGGCACAGTGGAATTTGGGGAGGGGCCGGTGGCTCTGGTGGCCACCCCACTGACATGGACCCAGCAGCGCACTCAAAATGCAGAGCAGCAGGTGCAAACACGGGGTGAGCAGCTCCCAAAGGGAATCCTGTTCCTGTCCCCTGGCATGTGGGTCACCTGCCTTTGGGGCTCGCTTTCTGCAGGAATTGGCTACGCCTCACAGGTCATCGTCATACTGCTGAACTTCTACTACATCATTGTCCTGGCCTGGGCCTTGTTTTATCTCTTCAGTTCGTTCACCATTGACCTCCCCTGGGGCAGCTGTGACCACGAGTGGAACACAGGTGGGTGTGGAGCCCTCTCCCTGATCTCCAGCAGACCCCAGCTGAGGGAAACCTGCTACTGCCCAGGGCCAAGGCTCAGGGGAGTGTCTTGTCCTGTGTGGGTGGGATGCAGGTTTGGGGCACTGGGGCACTGCAGTGCTGTTGGCACTTTTGTGGGAGAGGCTTAGTTGATCTCAGTCTTTGCTAGAGAAGCACCAGTGCTGTGCAGTGGTGACCTCCCTGGTGACTCCTGCTCTGGGCTCCAGAAATCACGGATGCCCTCCAACCTGGTATCTTTGAATCATCTTGTTCTGTGTGTTAGCCACAGACCTAGTGCTGATCAGAGCTGTACCTGCTGTAAGGAAAGATTAAATGCTATCATCTCAAGTGTCCTAGATTTCTTGCCACCCTTTCCATGGAGGCATTTCTTTTTGTGCATCCTTGAGACTATAACTTGTTCCAGAGTGAATGTCAGGGAGTCTCAACACTGTAGATGGACAGGGAGGGATTTTTCAGATCCTCTGGTACTCCAGGCACTGCTGCTTACAGTTCTTGTTTCCCTGGGCCTTTCCTGCAGGGAACTGCATGGAGCTTCAGAAGGCAAACTCAACCTTCAACGTGACCAATGAAAACGCCACGTCCCCAGTCATCGAGTTCTGGGAGTAAGTAAAGGACAGGCCTGTACACCCCTTCCCTCTCAGATATAATTTCCCTGGGCAAGGGACAAACTGCAGTAGAATATCCTATAAACCCATCCTTGCCAGAAGAGGAGACAAAGGGGAAAGCTGAGCAGGTCAGAGTGAAGGCTCTCAGGGGCAGCCCTGTCAGTCAAGATTAACTTCACTGTGCCCATGGTGCTGCTCTGGAGCTGTGCTGGCATGCCTCAGAGCCACCTGATTTTGTCCTTCTCTGATTCTGTGTTCTGGTCCCTCTGGGCCTTTTGGCCCTTTTGGTCTCACTGACCTCTTTCCTTTGAATTCATGCTGCTGTGTGATACCAGTGTATTCCCAGGAGGCTCTGGCATGGTGGGCAGTGACTTTTGTATATGCACTGGTCTTATTTCAAAAATAGAAAAAGAAGTGATGTTTTCAGTATAGGGCGACTCATATGCAAGTTATCCTGAGGAAAGAAACTCACCCAAATCAAAATGAAATGTGGGGGTCAGATAACTTTGCACTGAAATTTGGTTCCTGGTGTTCATTGTTTCCTCCCCTTGTGTTAGTTACCCTGGAGTACAGAGTAGCTTTATGTCTGTCACAAAGGCATCTGTTGGTTTAGGCTCTCTGACGATGCTCAGCAGGCCCAGTTAAGCACGGAGCCCTGGCTGAATGACTGTGCAGTCACCCCTCTGCTGCAGCCATGCATTTCCCTTGTGCTTTGGGATGGATGGAGGGCCCTGTCCCTGCCTGCCCTCAGGGGTGGATGGAGCCCACACACAGCACCCCCAGGGCTTCCTCAGCTCAGCACAGGGACACTGCTTTTAAACTCCAAAGTTTTACATTTTTTTTTGTCTCCTGTGCTCTCCCTCTGCCTTGTTGCTCACAGGTGATTAGAAGGTGGCCTGCCTTAGGCCGCTTTTTCTGTGGATGAACACTGGAAAAGTTGTTGTTTCTACCACTGCTGTGACCATCCCTGTGTTACTGGAGAATAAGCAGCATGGGATTGGAAATTTCTGCTGTCCATTGTTTTTGTTCCTTCTGTTTTCACTGTCTGCAGCATCTGTTCCTGCTGTCCCTGGGCAGGGAGGTAGGAGGCCAGCATTTCTTTGAGGTGCTCTGACCTGCCAGTGGGTTGATTGCACACTCCACAGATCTCTCCTGGCTGCAGTATAGCACTCAGTTAGTTCCAGTCCAGTGGCACCCTTTGCACTGGTTAGAGTCCACATCCTTAGAAGCAGGCAAAGAGCAACATGACAAAGCGTATCTGAGAGAAGAGCACTGTGATTTTTCCAACCCTTCTCACACCCCCTCAATCTGCTGCAAGGCTGTGGGGCAATGAGGGCAGCAGTGTGCCTTAGACAAGGGTTCTCCAGCAGCACCTTTATTTTGGAATAATTGCTGTCTTTTGCAGCAGGGTGGACATTGCTGGTTGCTGGGCTCTACTGTCATGCAAGTCCCTCTCTGCCTGTCTCAGGCTTGGGTTTCTGGGACTGCACCCTGGGGTTTCACTCAGGTTCAACTGTGTGGTGTAGGAGAGAGGAGGATGAGTCCTTACTTTTGTAAGTGATGAGGAAGAAAGGAAAGATAAGGAACATACACATGACATGGAAAGGTTGTTACTATCTGACCTCATCTGTACCAAGGTCCAAAAAGCCCAGGATTTTATCTCCACACTGGCTGCAAGAGGATGCTCTAGGTGGCCTCTTCTGACTGTGCAGTGGTGATTATGGTGGTCGTGGTTGGGTCCTAGTCACAGAATGGGATGCTGTGCTGCTCTGTGTCTTGAGGTCAATTATGTGGCTGCCTCAAAAGAGAGAAGTGTGCTATGGAGAAGGGGTTGGACAGCATTGCTGCATGGTCCTGGTGGATTCTGCATCGTAAGTGCAGTGTACCTCTGACTTTGAGTATTGCAGCATGTCAGAAAAATAGGTGAACTCTGTGTGTCCATGTGTGACCTGCCAGGCTGGCAATGTTTTTCAGAGAAGAGCACTGCTTAATTTCTCTGAGGCTTTCAGCTCAGACCTGAACCTTGTTAGTAAGACAGCTTTTCTTCCTAAAACCATCAGGTACCAAGGAAGTGAGAACCAGCATGGTGTTGGGAATATTAGTGGCCAGAATCAGTGACCCTTGAATGTTTCTTTGCTTCCCTCCAATGCAGGAGGCGAGTGCTAAAGATTTCTGATGGCATCCAGCACCTGGGTGGTCTCCGCTGGGAGCTGGCTCTGTGTCTCTTGCTGGCTTGGATCATCTGTTACTTCTGCATTTGGAAAGGGGTCAAGTCCACGGGCAAGGTGAGTCCTTGGTTGAGGTCAAGTCTCTTCCCTTGGTCACAGCACTGGTTCTACTCACCTTTTGCAGGTTCTGAGAGGTCCTTGAGGTCCCCTGGAAAGCACTGTCTGCATAAGCTGGTGGGAGCCTGTAGGGCTCAGTGTGAACTAGGCTCTATGGTTTTGGGTAGTAAAGGATGGGAGCACTGAGACATCTCAGAGCATTAACTTCCAAGATGTATATCCCCATCCAGTCCCTCTCCATTCACAGGCTGAGGAGACCCTACAGTCTTCCTCTGTCTGGGGTGGTTGCATGTTCCCTTCCTTCCCACCACAGCATGAGCAAACAGCATGTTTCTGCCTCTGCTGGCAAGTGCAGCTGGAAAATCTTCAAAATTATTAAATATAAAAAAAGGTAACTGTGATGCCCCCAAAACCCTCTCTGCCTCAGCACCATAGGAGTTGTTTTTTTATGCTTTTTGTTTGTCCCAACTCTTTCTACAGTTGCTCATGTTCTCCAGCAGTAAAGGTCTCCTTTTTCTATCCCCACACCAGTCACCACAGAGCTATTTATTTTAATGTTTTTAGGAAAGAACTGGTGTTGCTGTCCAGCTCTATTCCATGCTGTCTGTTACAGAGTGTGCCACTCTCATTTGCACTGACCCCATTACTTATTTTCTGCTACTGCCTCCTGACCCCATTCCCAGCTAGCTTTGTCTGGAGCCAGCAAAAACAGATGGAAATGAAAAGGTTTAGTTATTTCCTAAATGGTGTCTTCCCTGCATGCCTTGAACAAGTCATCATGTGTGATGGGGTGTAAACTCTAGCTGCACCCATTTCTATCAAGTTGATGGCATGGATGTTAGCAGCTTCTCTTGCTTCCAGAATGGTCTGGGATTGTGAAACAAGGCAGGGAAATCAAACAGCTTGCAGGGATGATATTTTCTGGTTTCCATGGAGTAAAATGAGAAGAAAAGAGCAATTGCTTGCTGTGGTGGCCTGGTAAAAGAAAACAGAGGCAGTCTAGTAACAGCAAATATGATGCAAAGATACAGCAAATGTAGTGTGGGAAGTCCTGAGAACAAATTCCATCTATTTTAGATACAATTTCTCGGTCAAATGCAAGTGATTTTTAGCAAAAACTACTAGTGTTGGTGAGATCTTGAAAACAGAAACCATCTTTCAATGAAGCAACAGTGTCCATAGGTTTATCAACTGTCCCCATATTTCATAATCTGAATAAAATGATGGCTGTAGGAATATACCCACACTGGGAAAGAAATATTCCTTAATTCTGAGGATTTGCCTGTGGAGGGTCAACACCTTGAGCTGAAATCACCCTACTCAGATCAGCAGTGGTTCTCACCCTCCAGCACAGGGACTGCCTGACCCCAGGAGCACTCCCACAGTCAGGAGGTTGTCACAGATGGAACCACTTCGCTGAGGCATGTGGATCAGATTCAAATTAAACCCTGGATGTTGTTGACCAGCATGTGACAGAACGATCACACTGATCCCGGCAAGGTTCCTAGTGATGTAAGTGCTAACAATGCCCAAAAAATAAAAAATATTGGGTCTGAGCCAAAGTAATATCTCATTGGATCCAGATGTTCCTACTGTTAAAAGTTTGGCAATATTAATCCAGCGAAGCATTCTCCAAATTCAGGCCTCGGGTCTCGGTGGAGGTGTGAGTGACTGTGGAGTGAGAAGCTTAACACATTAATTCACACAGGCTGTAAGACACATAGGATGTTACCAAAACATGAATCTAAATCATATGCCAGTCAACTACCAGTTTTTACCCTGAGCTCCTAAAACTGATATTCTTTAGAGATTAAGCCAATGTGCAACCTGTCATCCTGGAAGAACATGCACTAAGGTTCAAAGACAATCAGATGTTTTTATGGTTTTTGTTTTTAATCCTGCTTTCGTGGGCTGAGAAAGCTTAGACTTGCATCCCATTATTTCCTGAAGGAAGACATTGGTTGTGTGGTTAATACAGTGATGATGGTTAAACTTTCAGGACCTGCAGATTTGATTTACTGTCACTGTGCAGCTCTAAATCAGAGACTCCTTGAAAATTTGAGATTATGGGGAATTTACTTGCTGAAGGACCCTGTCCTTGGTTTCTACAGTGTTCAGGATGCAGATTCAGAGGGACAGGGATGAACCTGCTCCAGATATCTCAGGCAATCCAGAGCCTCAGCAAGGAGGTATTTTTCACTGATCTCTCTGTCAGTGTTATCCAAAACTGCTGAGCTACATAGAGCAGGGCACATGAAATGCATAGACAGAGATGATAGTCTAGTATTGGGTTTTTCAAGGATGGGATACCTTTCAAATCTTGTCCTACAATACAAAACTGAATGACTGGAGGGTGTGTGTCCTGACTTAAGGGAGGACTCACAGAACCAGGTGCTTAGGACATTGCTTTATTCAGATGGAGTCTTTCAGAGTGGATCCAGAAAACAAAATCTCATTTTGAATCACTGCTCAGATCATAAATATTACTCAGGGGCAGAGCAGAAGTGGCCATACTGTCTAAAGAAATCATATGCGTGTTCTCAGTAGGATGTCCCCTAACAGAAATCACCAAAGATGAATCACAGCCTGTGACTCCCACTAAGAGATGGTGGGATTTCCGATTTTAAAGCAACTAATTCTGGATGGATGGGCAGGTGTGAGAAATGGATTACTTCACATCATTACATTCTGCACTTTCTCCAGAGATGAGCTCTCCAGTCCACAAGTGCCAGAGCTGAGAAAAGAGCTGTGGGGTAGCGTTCAGGTGAAGCATGTTGATGCAAGTCCTTGCTCAGCACATCCACACAGGAAAAAACCTGAAGAAGCAACATTTTTTTTTTAGCCTAGCATGATTATGAGCAACCTCTTCTCAAGGTGCCCAATAATTCTTTAAGGTGTGGAAGCAATGCAAAAGGATGAATCACATTACTTGAATTGTTGAGGAGGTCGCATGAGCTCTCAATATCAGTTTGTGTGGAAAACAGACTGCAATGTGGTGTCATTGTGGCATGCTACAGCAGTTAGCCTGAAAAGTCCTGAAAATACCCTGGTAGTCCCTGAACTGAGTGTCACATTTACCAGAGGTGAATCCCTGAAAGGATTATCTGATACCGGTTTCCAGCTTTCCCTCAAGGCATGTAGCTCCTTTGCTAGAGGAAAGTGGTTTTAACCCCACCTGAGAATGTCTGCAATGCTCATGGGGCTAGTGACACAAAAAGCAAGAGGGTATGTGTTCCAGGTCCTGTTTGGGTCTGCATCCTTAGTGGCAATTCTGAGCCTTGCAGCCCTGCTCTGCCTGAAATGCCCACGATGAGGTCACTCAGAGGCAGTGGCTGTGAGTGACTGCAGCGGGAAGAGCTGGGCACAACCCCTTTGCCAGTTCCAGCTCGGAACTGGGGACCCCCAGCATTGTCCCTGGTGGTCCTTCAGTGGCAATCATGATTCAAGGTGCTGCCTGCACACCCCTTTACCTTCGCCACTAAACGCTATGGAGAAGAGACTGTGTGTCACTCAGGCTCTATTTGGAGTAGTGATGTGAAGATGGATACTGGGGGCAGCTCCTTCCCTGATGCATGTAGCTATTAAACCACTGGCTTCAAAAGACCCACTCTGACTCCAACCTATTTGACAGCCTGGCTCAGGGTCTGGATTGATCTAGGGCTAGAAAGATTTTCTCTGGCTCCAGATGTGCAATGGTATTTCATAAGTTTCCTGAGTACATTTTAAAACACGTTTCTTTCTACTACAGGAGACAGCAAGGTGCTCAGGAAAGCAGCCTGACCCCACCAGCCCAGGGTCAGTGCTGTGATTCTTGCTGGCACAGTGCGCTCTGGCCCATGCTGCTCTCTCACACTTGTCCCTTCCTGCTCCTTCCAGGTGGTATATTTCACTGCCACATTCCCATATGTCATGCTGATTGTGCTGCTGATCAGGGGAGTCTCCTTACCTGGGGCATCCCAGGGAATCCTCTTTTACCTTTATCCAGACATCAGTCGCCTTGGAGACCCTCAGGTAAGGTGGGGGGGGGGAATGAATGGCTAAGCTGTGCTTGCATGGATTCCTCTGGCAGCCCACACTCTCTCCTTTTTGCTTTCCTACTCTCTTTCTTCCAGTTTCTACTTTCTGACCCCTCTTTTGCTCCTCTGTGACACCAATATCACAGGCAGAGCTGTGATATTGGTGTCTTTTCTGGTAGTCTCTGCTCTCTTGCCTTCCAGTGCTGTTCCCATATTTTCCTGTCTGAGTCTGAATTGCTCAGGGGTATGGGCAGTGGGATTTAATCCTTTCTCATGAGTGGTGCAAGCTATCCCTCCTGTTTTCTGGGGAGTCTCCTCTGCTGTGGAACCAGATGGTGCATGGGGTGCCACTTTGCATTGTGCTGGCAGCTTGTGGGGATGAACCCTGCTCCTGGCACATTGGCTCCATCTTCCTTGGGAAGCATGCCAGCTGCATGGATGGTGACAGCCACAGCATGCTGCAGCAGCAGTCCCTGGGACCTGGCTGCCTTTCTCTCCTTCCCATCCCTGGTGAGAAATTCCTGCCTGTTTGACAGGAAGGTCAGTGCCCAACTGCTGCTTTTAATCTCTTTGGGACAAGTTCTTCCATGTTAAATCCTGGCTCCAGCTGAGCTACTGTACCAGCCTTTGTGTGAAGGTGTTTCCAAAGGAGATTAAAGGGTGCCTGCCTGGAAAATAGGCCAACAAAACCCTTGGCAACCCTATTAACTCTTTCTGGTCTAGCACCACTGCTGCCTTGGTTACTACTTTTGCAAATGGGAACATAAGTGCTGGTGCATGTATGGCAGGAGGTGAGTAGCACAGCTGCTCCATTGGCATGGAGGTCCAGAAAAGCGTGGAAAGGTGTGAGAACAGGTCTGTGATTGCTGTGACTGTGTCTCCATTTGCACTGATGAGGTGCAAGAGGCTTCTGAAATGAAATAGTATTTTTGAGTGGTGCTCCTTTTCTTATGAAAAGTCCTCTTGTTACTGTGGCTGTGTTGCCCAGGGGACTGAACTAAGGCTCCTCAGGCGTGACATGTTTAGTTCTAGCTGTGTCCTCATCAGGTCTGTCCTGGCAAACTTTTTCAATTGCAGCCTGTGCTTTAGAAGCAGATCTTCCTTCCAGCCTGGAAAATGCTGGTGGAAAGGCAGAGTAACGCTTCAAAGTAAGAAGATGGCTCTGAACAAGGGGAGGAGAACTTGCTTCTCCCTCCCCACTCCACATTCCCTGATGAATGGTTTACTTCTGAGAGAGAAAAGTAAGATTTGGCAGTGATGGTTGCCTTCCTTTAGCATGTTTTAGCCATCCTACTCAACTGTGTTGCAGGGCTTGAGTCTTCTCTTGTGTCTTCCCATGAGAGAAGGAAGTGTTAGTGTCCCAAGCCCCACATATGTGTGGCTGTGCCCTCCTGTCTCTGTGCAGCCACTGTGGTGTGAGTCGTGCCAGTCCATGGGGACCAAGTTGATTATAATTAATTTGTGCTCAAAGGACAGTGGGCTGTAATTGTTTACCAGCAAATCTGTACTTCCCTGAAAAATTGAATATTCTTTAGTGCTTGGGAAGGGACTTTGGAAATTAAAAAAAAAAATTAAAATTACCTCTCTAATCTGAGCCTTATGAGAAGCAATCTTAAGGGGAGGCTTAAAAAAAGGGCAAATAATATACAAGGGGACAAAATCAAAGCTCCTCTAAAGTATATGAGAAACTACATGAAAAAAAGGGATGAATTATTTATCCGATTCTACCGGGGAGCAGCAACAGCTGAGATGTGATTAAATGTCAGAATATTGGCTGGTGTGTGGAAATCATTGCTTTTCACCTGCCAAGTGACCTTGGACAGAATTGGGAAATACTGTCTATGAGAGCTCAGTCAAGCTGATTGGTAATTGTCTCTTCTGGCTGTGAAGTCTACAGTGCCCTAAATCTTCCTGCATCTTCATCTCCTCAATCTGTGAAATGCCTATAATTAAAATGGTAAATGAATTGCAGTTGATAGGTAGATCAGACCATAGAGAGAACTGCCAAACCAAGATGTTGAATAAGGAAGGCCAGTTATGCTCAAATATGAGCAGGTAACAGCAAAACCACCGAAGAGATAATCTATTTTGAACTGCATGTCCCCTAACAAAAAAATCTAAAAAATGAGCTCATACCTCATTTTTTAAATATGTAGATTATTCAATATTATGATGCTAGCATATCAGTCATAACTAGACCCAAAGTCTTTTCTCACTCCTTGACTGCATTGCTATGCTCCAGATGCATCCTGTGTGTTTCACAGTGTGAACCAACAGAGGGTCTTGGGATCATCCTCCATTTGTACTTTTGATCATTTCACCCTTTGCATTTATCAGTTTTATCAATTGTTTTATTCAGCAGGAAATGCTGGAAATTTATGAATGTGATTAAGGAGAGGGATGCATAGTGGGATCCACTAGTGAGAAGATGAAATGAGAGGAATTCAGAGTAGAACTAAGATTTAAGTGTGTAAAAGTTGTCATTAAAATAATTTTTTTCAGGTGCTGTCAGGCTTTCTGTTGATCGAAGCTTTCATATGACTGCTGGTCACTGTTTAGACAGAGATATAGAGGATGGGTGGGTTGATGCAGAAAGGACTGTCTTGAGTGTTTGGGTTTGCATTAAAGAGATGTAATAGTCTCCTTTCACTCTGGTATCAAGTGTAAGCTAAATCTCCTTAGGTTTAATGCTGAATGAGAATGGAGAAGTTGTGCTCCGAGGCCACTGTTGTGCTCAGAGTTTGTGTCTCTCTGGAAAAGCTGCAAGCGCTTCTCAATGCCTTCCACTAATTTTTCCTCTTGAAATTTCCAGAAAATTTCCACCATGCTGTATTTGCTTATACTTTATCAGTTTTTTATATAAAGAAAGAAGCTTCTGTGATAAGTTTCTTTCCACCCATTCCAGATGTCCTGAAGGCCCCTGAATTTGGGGGCTGTATCCCAGTTTCCTGGGGCAGGGAAGCACTGGAGGGCCAATAGTCAGCAGAGTTGAGCATTTACTTCTGAATATCCTTCCCATTTTCCTGTCTGAGTCTGACTTGCTCAGGGGTATGGGCAGTGGGATTTAATTGTTTCTCATGAGTGGTGCAAGCTATGATCCCTCTCATTTTCTTTCAACTATTTCCCTGATGATTGGGTTTTGGAGTGCTTGCCCCTGCAGATTGCCCTCATGGCTCGTTTCCCAACAGATAGGACAGAAAGGGAAGGCAAGAGAAGATGCTTGCAGTTGTTTTGGGGGGCGGTCTTCCCACTCTGCCTGTGGCTGCAGAGGGAGAACGCTGAGGTCATGGTTTGGACCAGAAAGCTCTCACAGTTAATGCTGAGCTGAGGATAAACCCCTGCAGCCACCACAGGGAGGATGAGAGATACGTGCGTCTTGCAGGGCTGGGACCTGCTGGGTTAACCATGGGCCGCTGAAGCCATGCTGGGAAGGGGTCAGAGCCCCAAATTCAGACCCTTCCTGCTTCCGCTCTATGGCCAGCAAACGCTCCTGCTTCCCTGTGAGAGGGGAGGGCAACCAGAGGCCTCCTAAATATTATTTGTTCTCCGTATTTATTGTTTTCCCAGCAGGCCCTTGTCTTGACCCAGCGTGCCGGGTTTGCACAGCTTTCCCCTTCAGCAGGCAGGTGTTTGTTTTCTGCGGAGCAGCTCCCGCTGTGCCCGTGTGCGGACACAGGGCTGAGCTTGTCCCACCGTGCTCCCACAGCACGCCAGAGGGATGCTGTGCCCCTAAAGGGGGCTGGGATCCTCTCCTCTGCCTTGCTGGGGCAACGCATCCCATGGAGCGAACCACAGCTGTACGGTTTCCTCCGCCTCCTTGTCCTGTGCTTGTTCCCAGCCCTGTGGGACCCGGCCGTGCAGCCCTGCTGGGCCTGATCTCAGCACTGACATAGCAGGGAGGAATGAAGCTGTTTGTCTGTCTGCTCACAAGCAGCAGGGCTGGGAGGACCATCAATTCCGCCTTCCCAGGCAGCGGCCCTCGGAGCGCTGCTCGCCCCTTGGCACGTCCCGTTCCTTGGGATGAACCACAAACCTGTTTGTCTTCTTGTGGTGTTTAAAGTAACCCCAGTGGTGGGAGGCCACCACTGGGTGCAAAATGTCCCACCAGGCACCCAGGTGTCCTGAGGTGTGGGGATAACATGAGGTCAATGTTCTCAGTCAGGGTACTGTGGGGGCCTTGAGCGCTGGCAGAGGGAGATTAATTGGGGTACAAAGTTCCTCACTGCCAAGGAGTATTTTCCAAGCAGATGGGGCTCTGGGATTGGGAACATAATGCTGGGCAAATGGAACAGGAGCACTTTACAGATGCCAGTGACCCATTCCCTGTCTCCTCTCTGCTGAGATGCTGGTGCAGCACTGTGGGATGAGGGCTGCATCTTTGGGCTGGGGCCTGTGGGCCAGTCCTGAGTGAAGGGGAACGTCTGTGTGCTGGAAATCGTGCCCTGGGAGTCCTGCAGTAAAACCTTAGGAGTCACCATCTCCCTTTCTAAGGCAGGGATGTGTTTGTGTGGTGCAGTGGGTGCTGGTGGGTAGTGCCAGTGCCACGGGCTGACTCGTGAGCCGTGATGTTGTGAGCAAAAGAAATGCTGCTGGAACTGTAGCTCAAGACTTGGCTGGTTTTTGCTCTCTGCTATGCATTACACCAAATGTGACCCTCCACACAGCATGTACCCACTCCGTGCTGTGCTGTCTCTGCTTGCTGATGGGGACAGTTCAGTGCTTCTCAGCATGCCACCTATATTTGATGTATGGCATCCACTGGGGTTCAATAACGTTTTGTTTGAGAGTGGTCTTGCTGTTATTTGTAAGTGCTTTGAGAACTTCCTAAGGAAGGACTTGTTTCAGCACTGGTAGCTATTAAATTCCAGTACATGTAATAAAGTGAATATTGCTGAGAAAATTAAGGGATAGAGGAATAGCCATAACCATCTTTAATAACTGCAGCTCAGGTGTAAAGGTTTGGGCTAAAAACAGAGTAGGAGGCTCTTGCAAACTGGACCAAACAACACGTTCTAAGAATTTGAATTATGAATTAAATAAACTGGATGGCTTAGAAAAATGCAGACAACAATTAAATCAAAATACCCATGCTGCCAATGTGCCACCAAAATCTGAACAGGATAACTTTACCAGTCTCTTTGGGAGCAGTGGCTAGAGAACAGCAGGATGCTTTTATCTGCAGTGGAAAGAGAGCCCTGCCTGACCCTGTGAGACATTTTAGTCAGACTGGTCTGGGAACAGCTGAAAAAAAACATTTCTCTGAGTCACTACAGGGAGAGAAAAGAGCACAGGCAGCAGGTTCAGGAGAAAAGGTTTGAGTTGCTGTTTGCTGAAGTGAATGGTCTGTGTAGCCCCCATGAGCTCTGTGGGGCTGGATGGGCAGTGGTGCTGCTGGAGGAGACTCAACCCTTTCCACTCCCAGTGACCCCATAGTACTGGGACTTGCTGCTGCTGCTTGACTCCATCACCAGTGGGTCAGGAGCACACATGGCATCAGTCCTGTGGCAGTCCTTTGACCCCCAAGCAATTTGGGAATTGCAAGGAAACTGGGAAGGTTGTAGATCTCTCTTGTCTTTGGCCCGAGAGCTGCAGTAACCTTTTACTGCATGAAATAATGTGTAGGCAGCCTGAGCTGGTGTTCACAGTCATGCTAAGTAGGATCATAAACTCTGCAAGTCCAGCTTAGCTTTATTTCAATGACAGACTGCCTTGCTTCAAACGGGAACATATGCTAAGATAGGTCCTGTATTCCCTAAGGGTATCCCTTAGGGGTTGGGCTCCCACACAGCCAGGTGTGCACCCCACAGGTGTGAGACTGGGCAGAGCAGGCTGTGAAGTGAGGAGCCCACAGACCCCATGCTGGTCTCTGCTACACAAGTCAGGGTTATCACTGGATTTTAGGAATGAACCATGTCATAAACCACAGAGCTAATGAAGCTTAGCCTCTTGATATTTGGCTTACACCATGGCTGGTAAAGCACCAGTTTTTTTCTTGCCTGAGGGGTATTTCTCCTTTGCTTGTGTGATTTATGTGATATTTAACACTGGTTGACTCTTCTTTCCTGTAGCTTTCTGCTCAGTGGGGACCCTGAGCTCCAGTCTTTTTCCCATTCCATAACTATTGTGCAATTCATAGGCAATTGATATCCTTGAGGTTTCTGACAACTGTTAAATCTGGTTGAAAAGCATCAACTCAGTCTAATGTTATGAGAGGCATGGGGTAGGCAGTTTAATGGCAAAAGTCTTGTTATCTTGACAAATTGAGCTACAAGAGCTACAAACCCCATGAGAGAGTGTGTTTTGAGCTCAAATTTGATGGAAAACAAGAGCTCTATCAATGAACAGCAAAATAAAAAGCAAACCTAACAAAGCATTTGATTCCAGTCTGTGCAAAGATGTTTAAATTATTGATGCAAAGGTGTCGGCTGGTCCAGCTCACCTTAGTGCCTTGCTGTGCCTAAAATGTAGCTGCCGGATGAAAGCTGTGCCCATACTGCCTAAGAGCACAGTGATGCTTTAGGAATCAATTTTAAAAAGGGCTTTGATCTTTTTCTAATGTTTTTGAACTGAAAAAAAATTAATACCTTGCTCTCTAAATTCATCTTCCCATTCATCGCCAAAAACAGTAAAATACACGGAGATCAATTACTTTTTTGATGTCCCAGTGCCTCGAATTAGTTGTTCCAGTCCTATCTCATCACCTGTCCCTTCCCATTCTACAAATCAGAGATTTGATCTCACTCCCTGTTTGATCTGAAACCTAGAGTCCAGTGTTTCCATCAACTTAAGTCAAGATTGTGGGGTTGAATGTTAGGCAAGTGGCTTGCAGAACAGTCAGGGAGAGCAGTTTCATCAAACCTAGCCCTAGCAGCATGTTGCCTTCTTTCCCTGCTGGGTAGGCAGAGGATTTATTCTGTGCATCTGTGCCTTGAGCTAAATCCAGAATTTCTTCTGGGAAAATGTCAGTTAATGGGTATGTAACATGACTTCATAAGGCTCATCAGCCTAGGAAGGAGAAGTAAATATAAAACAAAACCTGCCACCACATGGTTATACTTTGGCCAGTACAAAAAAGGAAAGGCAGAACCATGCATTGGTAAGGGTGGCCTGAGCAATGGGGGTGGTTGAGCTGGTGCTGCCCAGCTTGCCCATTGCCTCAGGACATGAGATCTTGGCTGACAGATGCAGGTGGGATTTGAAGTAATAAAACCTCGTGGGAATAACAGTGTTTTTGTATGTTCTTTTAGGAGCTGTCTTTTGCAATCAACTCTGTTTATTTCTAGTATTCCTTCCTAATTCAATTTCATTTAAATTTTGGAGTATTTACATTAGGTCTTGGAGGGAAGGGCCACCACCACAAGCTGTATGTACCTGCACTGGCCAGTTGGAGACTAGGCTTGCCCAAATCAAGTACCCTTCCTCTGGTGGCAGAGGGCTCCTTCAGCTCTCATGGAAAGTGTTCATCTGATCTCCTCTTGCTAGAAGACTCTTAAGTGTCACAGGGTTCTGCAGATTTGTCAAAGAAAGAAAGCAGTGTGATAAAGGGCTATATGTGTTTTGGGTGGATGAGGGTCCTGATGTATCCCTTCCCTTTGGCACGCCTAGTCCCTGGGTGCCTCACTGAGAACTGTAATTCCTGGCACTGTACAATCTGCCTCTAGAAAAGGCTTGTTTCAATGCAGAGTCCTGCTGCCCTTCTGATCCCTGGCCTTTCTGGTGCTTACAGCAGCCTTCAGGCTCTGCCTCTTCCCATCCGTGCAGTGTCTGTGCTGGCCTTGTCTTCTCACCTGTGTTTGCATCTCCCTTGCAGGTCTGGATGGATGCAGGCACTCAAATCTTCTTTTCGTATGCAATTTGTCTGGGATGCCTGACGGCTCTGGGCAGCTATAACAAATACCATAACAACTGCTACAGGTAACTGCTGCCTCGAGCCTTCCCCTTCCTGAGCATGAAGGATCTGCTGGAGGCTGCTGGCCTTTGGAAGTGTCATGATTTTTGTTTCTACCCAAGGCATAGGAAAACTATTTCCAGATGTTTTCTCCCCAGATCCAGTTCTCTGTGCTTTATACCCAAGGGAATTGTCTGTCTGTCCCTTCTTCCACATTCTGAAAAGTTATATCCTCTTCACCAGCTTTGTGACCCCAGCTCACACCATAGCCTCCATTATTACATGGGTGCACAAGCAGCTACAGGGAAAGCAGAACCGTGAAATCTAATGGCTCTCAACTGGAGTTCTTTCCCCTTGTGATTTATCCTTCTGTGGTTCATTTGGACCCAGTGACTGGCACAGCTGTCAGTGCTCTGGATTCCTGTGTGATATATCATATAGTTACATAGGAGCCTGCAGATGTGACTTCTATTTATTGCATGCTGGACTGCAGGAGCAGAAATGGACTAGGTTGCCAGATAGAATCAGGCTGCTGAGTTGAAGTGGTCCAGTGAAAATAAACTCCTTTTGCTGTAGGTGTATCCATCCCCAGTGTTAAAAGGATTGTGTGAGAAGAGGCCACCTCTCTTCCCACACTTTCTCTGCTGATTGGGTTGCCCCTGGCACTGACTTCTCCCCCCATCTTTTAAATTCAAAATTGTGGTTGTTGCCATCAAAGGTCCAGGAACACCACTGGCTACATGATCCTTGCTAGGCATCTTTCTTCACTTTAGGAGTTCATTTCTGTGGCAGGGCTGCCTCTCCAACAACAGGGCTAGGATGCTTGTTTCTTTTCATGTCCCTTCTCCCATATTCAGTTTTGAAAGAAAAAGCTGTAGGGAAAGAAGAGATAATGGATGTGTTTCTGGCTTTCAACATGTCTTGGACATTAGCCCTTTGCTAATCCCCAGTCTGCTCAGCAGAAGGGTTGTAAAGACCTTCTGTAACTGTAGCTGGAATTTGCTGTAGAAAGGGGAGAGACTTCTGTCTGCACATGGTGCTGTGCTTTTGCCTTGTAGACTGTTTGGCTCTTCTAGGAGCACTGATCTTAGTTTTGGTGTCAAAACTTTGACTAGCCTTTCCCCGCATGGCCCAGTTTTAATGAGTCAGTCCTGCGCTGTACAGGCTTAGTTTGGACAAGAAGACAGAACCAGGATTTAGCAGGGGAGAGGGACATCATCATGGTGCCCACTCTGTTATACCAGGCCAGGTACTTTGTTATTTTCAGGTCACCTATTCCAGGTAACCTGGAAAAGGATGTGGGCAGTAGAAACCATTGTTCGTATGGCAGTGGTCCAAGATGGCATCAAACAGTATTGACCATTTCTTCTTTCCTGTCACAGCAAGGGAATTCTTCAGGTCTTCCTGGTTCCCTTTCAGGTGTAAATCTGCAGAGATCCTTTTGATCTGGCCATCCCCTCATTTTACTCTCTACCATGACACCCCTTCCCACCTTCCAGATAATGGAAGAATACCTTTCAGCCCATGCCTTTCCAAGGAAGGTTTGACCTGTCATGGATACTTCCAGGGGAAAGAGGGAGAAACACCAGGAAGGACGAGGAACTATTTGAAACATGTGAGAATTTGTATCAAATTACTGAGAATGTAATTTGAGTGGAGAGCAGGCACTTTATAGCAACTGGGGAAATGAGGTTCGGGCTTGGGCTTCCCATTGTGTTGGGACTGGTGGAGTGTGGCCTCCCTTTCCAGCTGGGAGATTCATTGAGCCTTAGAAACCAAATGCAAAGGCAGAGCAGTGGTGCTGGGTGGTGTGCAGTCCTTGACAGTGCAAAGAGCTGTGCTTTGGAAGGAGTGATTTGAATTTGTATGATGCGGGGGCTCTGACCTAGTTAACGTGCAAGCAAGAGCACAAAGACCCAAAAATGCTATACAAATGAAGACTGATACAGAAAAATCGCACAGGATTTGCAGAGTAGCATTTAATAAAGTCAGAGCAGGCTATGAAATGCCAGAAGGGGTGCATTCACATTCAGTTTGGTTCAGAATATCTCAGAATGATGCTGCAAATGTTATTGTTGTCCCCAGGGTTGCAGTCACAAGACGACTAGGGAGACTCAAGCGTAAAAAAGGAATTGGATAGATAAGAGATGTTCAGTTTAAAGTGTTGATGGATGAGAATGAGATGAAACAGAGACACAAGGGAATAGATCAGAGAAAATAAATTGGATGGCTGTGATTATCTTTTTCTCATAATGCAAAGACCAGGAGATAACTAGTAGTGCTGAGAACCCAGAAGATTATAACTGGTCTGAGAAATCTATTAAGGAAAAAAAAGTGTTCCCTTCTCAGACAAAAATAAACTGTTACATGCTGCTACAGGAGGGACCAGGGGAGAGAGAGGGGAAAAAACAGGAAAAAAACCCCTGGCATTTAGATGTGTGGGAAGACTATCTCACAAGAAAGGAGGTTAGGTGAGCAATGCATCTTTATGCTGTCCTTGGACAAGGCTTCCCTTGGGGGAGTCCTGCTGTGTTGTCCAGCCTGAGGCATCTTTCTGCAGTTCCTGGTGCTGAGTCAAGCTGCAGGTGTGCTGGGAGAGACACAGTGGCTGGGAAAGAAAAGCAGGTGCTCTCCTGGGGTGCTGCCATGAATTGTGGGTCATAGCTGGCTGATGCTTTGCCCCTTCTCCTAGGGACTGTGTGGCTCTGTGCTTCCTCAACAGTGGCACCAGCTTTGTGGCTGGCTTTGCCATCTTCTCCATCCTGGGCTTCATGGCAGAGGAGCAGGGTGTGCCCATCGCCAAGGTGGCTGAGTCAGGTGAGTGAAGACCCTGGTGGGATGGGGCTGTGGAGGTGCTGCCACTTGAGCCCCCAATGCCTGCAGCTGCAGATTCCCATCCCTTGCTCTCTGCCTCCAAAAAGCAGGGAGAAATAAGTGCAAGTGAGGGTACACTCATGAAGTACTGAGATGCAGTTGGTTTGAGTGTAATAAAAGCTGCCTCTAAGGGTGAGAACTGGGGTTAGGCAGCTGCTATCTCTTGTGGGGAGGGTGCTGAGGTGACTGCATGGCATATCCACAGGCTTGTGCTGTGCTCCCTGGGCTCAAGGACTTCCCCTGGCTCCCAGCCCTTGCAACAGTGAAGCAGCCAGAGGTTGCCATGTCCCCTTACCTCTCTTCCTGCTTCTTCACTGCTCCAGGAGCCTGAGTTTCATGCACAGCATGGGTATTACTGGAGTGAGAGGCTGCATGGTCACAAACTGTTCCTTGGCTGGGTGGCTGCCTTGGGCAGGTCTGAACCAGCTGTGCTGTGCTGCTGCTGCCATGCCATTGCTCTGAAAGCCCTTCTCCCTGCAGGGCCTGGTCTAGCATTCATCGCCTACCCTCGGGCTGTGGTCATGCTGCCCTTCTCCCCACTCTGGGCATGCTTCTTCTTCCTGATGGTTGTCTTGCTGGGACTGGACAGCCAGGTAAAGCTGCAGGAGCAGAGTGTTTCCCTACCAGACAAAAGCCACTGTCTCCTCAGGACAGGCTTCAGCTTGGCTGAGGGGGAGCCAGTGGGGCTGGGAAGCTGGTCAGGATGGGCTGACAGAGGTGGGATCTCTGCTTTTTGCAGTTTGTCTGCGTGGAGAGTCTTGTGACAGCTCTTGTGGACATGTACCCCACCATCTTCCGCAAGAAGAACCGCCGTGAGACCCTCATCCTGCTGGTCTCCATCCTCTCATATCTGGTTGGCTTGGTGATGCTCACAGAGGTATTTTGGGTTCAGACCACCTGCATGGTACTTGACAGGAGAGAGTGGGATCTGGTGGGTGGTGAGGTCTGTGCTGGGGCCAAGAGCTTGCTGCTGAGCCCATCGTGCTGCCCTGTGCCTGCAGGAAGCTGCCCTGCCCTTCTCATGCTGTTTGTGTTTTCCCTTCCAGCCCTTACCCCTTATGCCAGTCACAGTGCTGATACTTCTCCTGCCAAGACTGATAGCTGGAGCTCTGGACAGCCTATGTTTTGGTTATAAATTTATCTTGACACAGACCAAACCTTTACAGTTGTAGCCTGTTGCATGGGAAGGGGAATGCCCTTGTCCTTCTATTTCTTCCTGAATAGAGCTACAGGAACACTTGCTATAAGGAAACTCTTCAGGCCTCAGGGCACCCCTTATCTATTATACTGATATCTTCTGTATTATCCTTGTGATTAATTGCCTGGGAGCCAACCTGTTCTTGTTTAAAAGTTTGAACTCTGCCTAGCAATATGAATGTGTGGATTGATGCTGCCAGAATGCTCCTGGCACTTGCTGTTTTAATTTGGGTGTAACTTTTGGAAAAGCTGTCTCTGATGTACATGCAACATTGTGCCTGGACTTACCCATAGGCTTGTTTTGTAGGCAGCCCTGCAGACCTGGGCAGTGAAACAGCCAGGCTGCATGCAATTATTTCCTTCTGCAAATTGTGACTTCAAAGTCAATCACATGGATTGTGTATCTTAAAGGGGGGTTTCCATCCTCACTTCTAGCTACAAGAGTTGTCTAGGTTTTCTCTTCCCCTAAAATATCCCTGCAATCTCTAGAAATCAGTTGCCATCTGCTGTGCTGCCCTGCATTGAAATGAAGGGTTGCAGAGACTCCTGAGAGCAGCAGGGTGGCTGCATGTGTCTGTCAGGCCTTGGGCACAAGGGATGTGCCTTTTCTGTAGGCTAAAACTCTTTCCCAGAGAGGGAGATGCCTCCAGCCCTGGGGGAGATACTGAGTTTTTTTTTTCTGCTCTGGTTCTAGCTCTTTGCCTGATTCTTCTCCCCTCTCTCTCACCTTGCTGCCCACTTGGGCCTTCCCAGGGTGGGATGTATGTCTTCCAGCTCTTTGATTACTATGCTGCCAGTGGCATGTGCCTGCTCTTTGTAGCCATCTTTGAGACTCTCTGCATTGCCTGGGTCTATGGTGAGTATGAACTAGGGGGAGTCCACAGCTCTGACCTCTCACAATCTTGTCTGGTTCATTCTCAAAATTTTGGTCGGTAGCTTAATTTAGTAATTGCTTTGTAGTGCAAGGCAGAATCTAAACCTTTGCTTTGGTGCCCCTGGACTCAACTGGCAGGGACTTCCTCACAGGAACACCCTGGGAGACCTGCTTGGCAGATATCCCCTGCATGTTTCTATGCGCTCCTGCTTTTGAGATGTTCCCTCCCTGGTGAATTGGAGCTATCTGAAAAACCTTTTCTCAACCTGTGTTCAGAGGGCTTGAGACTCAAACATTTTGAGAACCCTCTCTCACAGTCTTGACAGTCACCAGATATGGGTAAAACCTAGGCTGAGGTCCTAGCCTTGGAGATGCTGAGGGGCTGGCCCTGCTGACCTATGGAACTGTGCTGGGAGGATAGGAAGTTAGTCCAGGACAAAGACCAAAGCTGGCCACACTCCTGAGGAGCTCCCTGACCTGATCGTTGGCTATGCTGGGGCTCCTGGAGCAGTGAAGAAGAAGTTGAGGTTGTTGCACCTAAACAGTGCTGAAGCAGGACCCTGGACACTCAGACCCTGCTGCCCTTCTTCCCTGGTGGCAGTGAGGGATCCCATCCTTGCTGTCTTCTGCAGGTGCCGAGCGTTTCTACGATAACATTGAAGATATGATCGGCTACCGGCCGTGGCCCATCATCAAATACTGCTGGCTTTTCATCACCCCTGCGGTTTGCATGGTGAGGACACGCAGGAGGAAGAGCTGTGGGGAGGAAGATGTGGGCAGAGCTGGGTGCCTCTGAGATACAGACACCTACATATATACAGAGTGATGTACATATATATATATAGGGGGTTATGTGGCCTGGACTATGGGGTTTTTTGTTATTTGTGCTTGTATCTTTGGAGGCCAGGTGTGGGGCTCAACAAAGGGGAGAGGCTCAGCTGTGACATGTGTTTGCTGGTGGGACAAGCTCCTTGATGTCATGACCAGTGTTGCCCGTGAGGGCTGTCCCAGCAAACCCTGTTTAACAGATGTCTCCTCTGTTTCTGCCCTGAGGTGCTCCTTTTTACCATGAGACTCCCTGCAGATGTGTACTTAACAGAAAGACCTCTCTTTGCTCATGGTGTTGATTTTCTTTCTATTTTTTTCTTGGTTTCTTTCACAGGCAACCTTCCTGTTTTCTTTGATCAAATACACCCCATTGACTTACAACAAGAAGTATGTGTACCCGTGGTGGGGAGACACTCTGGGATGGCTGCTGGCCCTCTCCTCCATGGTGTGCATCCCTCTGTGGATCATCTACAAACTCTCCACTATCAAAGGCTCACTCAGAGAGGTGAGGTTGGTGCTCTGGGATCAGGCATGGGCTGTGCTTCTTTGTTGAACTCCAACCCTGCAGCAGAATAATTTGTGTGTTGCAGGTTGATTAGGAAGAAGCACAGAATAAGTCAATTAAATGAGTTAATTGCTATAACAGACCTGTTTTTTTAAAGTTCTGCTGTGCTGGAGGGCTGCTCCAAGCTGCCTGCTGCCTCTTGGTACCCTTTATTCATTTCTTCTGAATCTTTGCAAGTACCACCAGGAAAAAGGAAAAATGTGATTAGATGGAGAGGATAAAGATGATCTCCATGCTGCCCTTAATTGAGGCTTGAGGACTTGCTCTGAGAAATCTCCAGATTCCCTGAGCATTATGGTCAGCTGAGTTCACCAGTCTGTGCTGAAGCCATAGAGTTGGAATGGAGAGAATCACTGGGAATTTGGAGTTCCCATCAGTCTTAGTGCTCTGGGTCTGTCCTGCTTCCAGAGTGATGCATTGCTGGTTGCCCTGCAATACACTGGAGAGGCGGGGAGCTATAAAACCAGGCCTTGCTGCAGATGAGCATCCTATCCCTGCCACAGCTCATGATTTCAGGGTGAGGTTTCACAAAGAGTCCTGAACCCCCAGGATCCCTCTCATTCCCTGCCTCCTGCAAGTGTTCAAGAATGGGTTGTGACAGCAATGGGCCCCTGACCCCTGTGTCGAGCGCACACAGGGAGGAGTGGGAACAGCTGCAGAGGCAAGGCAAGGCTGCACAGCATGGTGTGGTATGAGAACAACCCCTTATGAACTTGTCCCAGTGAAAGCCAATCCTGTGTGCACAGGCTCTGTGCTAAAGGAGGGAATGACCTGGAGGTACTCGGTCACCAACCTTCCCTCAGACTGTTTTCCCCTGGCCTGGAGCAAATGGAGGACAGAGCTTTCCTCCATTGTCCCTGTATTAGTACCTCATGTGCTCAGTGCTTGCCTTGGGACAAGTGGTTGAAGATGAGTTTATCCTCTCGGTTTCTGAAGTACTGACTGTCCTTATTTTGGACATCTCTGGCATTTAGCAAGCAGATCTGCAGCTAAGCCTAGCTAGCTGAATAAAGCCCATGCCTGCTAGGGGAGGGCTCAGGTCACTTTTTGTTCTTGCAGCTGTGCTTAGTGCCTGTCTTTGCCTTCCAGAGGTTTCGCCAACTCACCTGCCCACTTGAGGACTTGCCTTCCAGGCCAGGCACAGAACAGCCCCTTCCCTCTACCAGAGCTGGCCTCCTGATGCTGACAGAGCTCGAATCTCATTGCTAGGACTAGTGTGGCCCTTCCACCCTCCCACCAGGATGGTTTTTATACAACCTTTGCCACCTGTTGGATAACGCAAGGATTCTTCACTCACCAAGACGAGAGGGATTTCTGGGCTGAGCTCCCTTCTCTGGAAGATTTGAAGGGCTGATGAAGAGGCTGCCATGGAGATGGTCTGTGTGGAGTTAGCAATGCACCTTAATTCTACCCCTGGAGAGAGCTCTGAAGGGGCACATCAAGCACCAGTGTTCCTGAGCATCCCCAGGCTTCTGGTGGGCAGAAAGGAAGGACTGACCCTGGAGTAAAGTGTCAGAGTCAGAGCTGTGGCTCCAATGTGGACTTCAGGAGCTTCTCCATTCATTCCATTAAATCTATGTTTTTCCTGACTAGATCTGCTCTGTCTCTATTTTGTCCCACTGGCATGCCTTGCCAATAGCATGTTAGGTGAGATGTGTGTCAGCTGAGCTGTGCTGGGCATCCAGATCTGCATCTCTGTTGCACTGGCACAGTGATATGGGAAGGTGGCCAGAGGAGAGGAAGCTTGGTTAGGGTAGGAAGGAAAACAGGGAACAGAGGTTCAGAGGCTCCTCTAAGTGGTAGGCCTGGGGGAACTCTGGTGAAGAGTGCAATGCCACCTTCTGCTGGAGCCACTTCCAGATCTCAGACAGAAGTGTCATCTGTCTGATGAGCCACCAGGCTGTTCCTGGGGTCTGAGAGCAGCGTGTGGATTTGTGTTTTCTTCCTGCAAGTGACAGATCATGGGAAGCTCTCCCTTGTCTCTGCAGATCTGTGTCTTTTTCAGTGCTGACTACCTTCCAGGTGCTCTGGAGCCAGTAATTTTGGTTTTCCTGTGAATGGAAGAAGGGCTGAGTGGTGGAAACAGAATCTGCATGTTATGTCAACAAACAGGGCCCCTAGTTTCCAGGCTGTTTGGGTAAAAGAAATAAAACTCCAAGAGCTTGTGTTTGAAGTGCTGTAGTGCCAGCATGCGAGGAGGCAGCCAGAGGACACGTAACCCCGGGAAGCTGGATGGCTCCCAGGAAACCCTGAGGAAGCTGAAGCGTGGACAGAGCTGAGCCAGCAGCCGAGGCGCTCGGCTTCCTGAAGCACACAAGGACACCGGTGGGCCCCACGCTACGGCCAAAGGCTTCTGAGAACAGCTACGGGCAGAGGCAGACGCGAGTTAAAGCGAGTTAAAGCGAATTAAAGCGAATTAGCCACAAGATGGCCCCAGGCCCTCAGCCTTGACGCGGGATGGGCCCCGCGGGCGCCCCCTGAGGGACACCGGGCCAGGGGTGACCCGCCATCCTCCTCAGCCCTCCTGCCGGGTTCCCTGTGGAGGGTCTCTCTGGGGACATCTGCTTTCCACAGGGAACGGTGGGCTCAGAACGGTGCTCCCAGCTATGGTACGAACGGGATTAATCCTCTAGGCAATGGCAAGTTGCCGAGTTTAGTTTTCCTGGACTTAGTTTCCCCTAGTTTAGTGTACTTGGAGCTTGGAAACTGTTATGAACAAAACAGCCTGGCTGGGACACTTCGGCTTGGGCTAAGTACCGGCATTGAAATGTTAAGTAGTCAATTGCTCCTGAGAATCACCTGCAACCCCGCCTACACTAGGACCTGGATGCAAAATAATCCAGTGGAATCATGGGAGGGGGTTTTGGGGATGAAAACCACCCCTAAATGGAAAAGATGGGCACAGTGGAGGGGGCTGGATGGGTGTGCTCAATAGGGAAAAGGGAACCCCATCCCTAGTCTGTGTTTAACCTGTCACCATAACCTGCAGAGGACCAGACTGGACTGGGGTGTGGGAAGCAGGAGCAAAAGGACTCTTCTTCCTGGTGCTGCCAGGAGGGAAGGAGGAAAGGACAGTCTGCTGGGGCTCTGATTGTGGACTGTGCACCTCTTCGCCTCCAGCTGCTGGCGTGCCCTGGGACCACTGCGGAGCTGACTTTTAATAAAGAGCTGACTATTAATAAAGGTATAGACCCTGTTCATTTCAGAAACCTGACATGGGACACAGGTGTATGTGGAAAGGAGTCACGGACTTCTGCGTTAGATGTGCATCTCTCGCATCAAAATCTCAAGTTTCTGCATGCCTCTGCACGTGCTAAGGGTAGTAAAGAACAGAGAAATTCAGGGAAAGCCCCTTTTGGCAGACACCCACAATGTGAGGGAAGATGGAGCCAACCAGCTGCCCTGCCACTTGGAAACACAACTGGCTGGTAAAAAATACTTTTAGAAATGAGAGGACCAAGTTCAGTACAGAAGTTCTAGCAATAGATATTTTTATTTGTGTAATGTTAACCTTAAACAGAATTATACCTTCATTTTCCAATAATATCTGTAAGAGATTTGCCCCACTGAGAAGATATTTTAACCATAATAGAAAGCAATAATTGTTTGCAGCTATCTCTAAAATCTGGCTGATGTAAAAGCCTGCTTGGCTGCATGTAGGCAAAGTGTGAGTTTGCTGAAAGGCTTGTGACTTGCTTTGTTTCAAAATAGACTGATGTCCAGTGAATTGGGCATGTGGTTTATTGATCTGGTTATGTATGACCCAGGAAATCTCCCAAGCCTGTGTTCTCACATGGCCTAATTTCTGTAAAGCTGTGGATGAGCTAGGTAGGTCAGATAAGCAAGAGAACCAAAGGTTTTGCTGAATACTCTTAAATAAGTGTCTTATTTCTGACATGACTTTAAGCAATGTATTAGACTTGATGACACCTGGCTTGAAATATGAATCAAGTATATTCTGTCTTGCTCATTGAAAATGTTGATGGACTAAATTTGAAATTAATTTAGAAATTTCCGGACATGACATTTTTTTTTCACAGCACTTTTAAGACTCCACGCTTAAAAGGAATTTTTTGTGAAATTTGGAATATAGCGATTTCAGCATATGGTGTTTATGATTTAGAATATGGTGAAAGGGATTTTAATTGCCTCCAAGATCAGCCTTGCAGTCCGTGGAATTTGCACCATACATTTGCCACCTGGGGAGATGCTGATCTCCCTTTAGACAAGAGATGTGTGGTCACGGGATATTTCCCACCTTCAGAAACCAAAACCTACCAATTAGCCTGAGAATTCAACCCATTTCTTACTAGATAATGGGCTTGACATTAAAGAGTCTTTTTCTTCATGGACTGTTTTGTGGTGATAATCATGGTTTTTCAGTTTTGTTTGGTTGGTTTTGATTTGGGTTTTTTTGTTTGGTTGGTTATGTTGCTTCTTTTGGTTGGGTTTTTTTTTTTTTTTGGTGTTTTGAGTTTTATTTTGGTTTTTTAAAATTTTGTTTTGTTTTGTTTTTTGGCATTTCTTTTTTCTTTTTTTCAAATGAAAAATTAACCTAAAAATAAAGAAGTCCCTGAGGTTCTGCCCCAGGTTATTGGTGCTTAGAAAGGATGTCCATCCATCCGTCCATGAAAACCAGGCTCTGCTTTTCCCTTTTTGTGTCAGTGGTGCCTGGGGAGAAAACTCAGCTTTCTTTGTCTGTGGATGGAGATGCTCACATAGGGCAGGGATGAGACTTAAATTCTCAGGGACAGACCCATGGATGAGGATGCACCTACTGTCATGGAGAGCATCCCAAGTCCTGGGATGTTTGAACACATACTTGAGAGGCCTTTTCCTTTTGCCTTTAGTGGTAACTACAAGGCAGTTTTCCACAGCTATTGCAGAGTGATGCATGGGGGAGCACAAAGGCACACTGGAGAAGCTGTTACTTTCAAGAAATTGCCAGTGGTTTTGTTAGCCCTGTCTGACCTGGCCAGCGTTGCAACACCTTGGGCAGCAGCAACACGTGCCTCTCTGTGTCTCCATCTGACCTTGTCCTTTGTGTCCTTGTGCCCTGTGCATTGGAGGTGTTTGCTGTCACGTCCCACAACACCAGGCTCGGCTGCCCTGAGGGAGCAGGGAGGGAAAGCAGGAGCAAACAGGCACACACTCGTGTGTCCTCTGCTTGCCTTTGTTCTGTGAACCTCTTGGTCTCTGATCAAGAGCAAGCATTGCTGGGCAGCTCAGAGAGGCTGTTAGACTACAGATCCCCAGCATTGCCAGTCCTTCCTCCTGAGCACCTTTATGGCTGACTGGGCTTCTAAGCCATTTGTCCTTGCCTCATCCTCTCCCATTCCAGGGATGCTGTGAAACAGGAGATGTCTCATCCTGCCTATACTTTCACAGATAAAGGCTCCTGGCAGCCTCCTCCTCCTTAGGAGCCTGGCAAAGGAGTGGTGCTGTGGCTGCTGGAGCCCGTCAGGGTTCTGGGGAGCCTCATTAGCTCTTGTTGCTTTGGTTATGTTCACTTGTGATTAGTTACAGTGAAACTGTTAGGAGACACAGGCTTACTCAAGCAGAAATTAGCCATAAACATGAAAAATAAATTATGCCAATGCCTAGGGGAAAATCCCCTGGAAACATAGTGTTCAGTCAGAAAGGCATGTTCTCAGCCAAAGAAACAGCAGCACTGTGCCCATGGGGCAATCAGCATTTCTCCTATTTTGTTAGTAAAAGTGTTAAAAGATGGAATTAGTCTGGACAAATGAGGGCAGCAGTAGTTTCTCCTGCAGGTGACTCAGTGACGGGGCAGCCAGGGCTGCAGGCTCCACTGTGTCCAACAACTATCCCAGCAACTGCCTCTGCAGCCTCTAATGTTTGTAAAGCATAGTTTGGATTCACCCATAGGGTGTCATGCTGACAGACCTCTCCCAAAATCTGGGCTATGGGGAGGTTTGACTCATTTTGGCTTGAAGCCGTGTATCTTACGGGCTCAGGGGCCCAGGACTCCCTGCTTCCAGGAAACATGGCCCTGGCGTGGGCTGAGGTTGGCAGCCTGCTCCTCTGGGTTGGCTCTATCAGCAGGCATGTCAGAGCTGGAGGAAAGGGTGGGGACACCCAGATGATGGGAAAAGCCAGCTGTTCTGAGAAAAGAAATGGTAGAAAGAGAGGCAAGAGGGCACTGCCAGCTGGCAGGTGGTGAGCAGGGTGGGGAGGAGGACACCTTTGAGGAGGTGCAGGACAGATCTGAGGTTGGGGTCAGCCATCCTTTAGGGCAAAGGCTGAGTCCTGGTCTCCAGCTGCCCTGAGCCTAGCAGTTGGAGGGGTGTCTGGTCCTTTCAAAGAGAGTTTTCTTCCTCTGCTCATAAGAGGGGATGGAAACCTGTACAGCTAGCTCTGAGCTGGCAACTGCAGAGAGAGTGAGCACCTCTGTGTGATTGGACAGTAGGACTTTCCCAGTTCTCCTGTGCACCCTTGGGTGCAGTGGTGGGGCTTCGTCAGGATGCGCTGTTCGAGAGCTGTGGAGATCTGAGTGCTGCTGGTGTGTGAGCTGCTCACAACAGGGGGTCCCAGGGCTGCGAGGGGTTCCTGCTGCCTGGGGACGGGG